GTGTCGGCCTGTTCTAGGACAGTGCTTCAAAACTAAGGGGAAAACACATCAGGATGGCCGAAGAGCAGGATGGCCGGGGAACTTCGAAGAAGACTCGGGATACCAACGGGCCGAGACGAAGTTCGACGAAGGCCGGGGGGCCGGGCGAAGGTTCGACGAAGGCCGGGAGGTTCGACGAAGGGGGAGGAGGTTCGACGAAGGCCGATACAAAAGGCCAAGACAAAGCCCGAAAAAAAACGCGAAGGTTCGACGAAGGCTAAATGAAGGCCGGAGGTTCGACGAAGGCCAAGAGTTTCGACGAAGACTAGGAGAGTTCGACGGCCTTTGCCGAAGGCGGTGTGCCATCCGCCCCCATACGCCGTCCTGATCGGTTTGCCCCTGAAAAACACCTCCTGGCCAATGTGAACAAAGCCCAAGTCTCTCTCGGTTCTTGTCCCGCCCTCGACCGACCTACCACGCGTCTCCATTCTTCGGGAACAACGAGGTTGGCCAGCATGCTGAGATGTAATGTCCTCCAAATCTTGGGGTTCGGCTTCACAAATCCAAGCCAACGACACCCGAGATGCGTCGTATCATCTTACATATGTGTACAGGCACAAATATCGACCTTAAACCTGCAACACGGGAAACTAGCCACCTGGACCATGATAACTCACAAACATCCTCTGGGACCGCGACGAGCGAGAGCCTCCCGATCTGTCGCCTCGGCAAGGAATCTTAAACATAAACCGCAACCCTGAGACGCATGATCGTGGACCCGAAGCCCTCCTACCCTAAAGACCAAACCCTAAAACAGAAACCACTAAAACCCTAACATCTCCATCCCTGACATGCCAATGCCCTACACGCAAAGTCGAAGAATTCATCGCCCACACCTATAAGAACTAACGTTTATCTTTAGGAGTGGTTCTACAAGGAGAACGGCCAAAAATGGCCGACACCACTTAAACCCCGTGAAGCGCTCTACTGTGGGCAAGCAAGCAAGTGAATCAAGACTCATGTCGGGGTTGGGTGGTCTTGGAGGTTCATGAGTAGAAAATAGTAGGGTGATAAGTGCAGTGAAGTCCATAACGTTGGAGCATGCTTTAAGGACGAATAGTGCTGGGATTCCCTTTCGTCACCCTCGTGGGGTATGAGGATAATGATGTTCCAACTGTTGGGAGTTTACTGTAGTGTAACTGGTAACTAATAGTTATAACCTTCATTCGGGTACTTCTCACCCTACTTCTTATCCTTAGTTGCTGAGTTCATTTGCCCCAAAAAAGTGTACACTTTTAGTTTTGTAGAGATCATAGTATCCCAAAAAGTGTAAAGTGTACTCGCTCAGCTACAAAGTATTTTACCCCAGAACCTTCAAAGGCAGGTTTCCGTGAGCAAGCTGAGCTCCCCCACGATGAGATCCGTGATGTGAAGACTGGGCGGCCTACAGAGTCTAGAGCTTAGGGGGGGTTTAAGGGGCTTTAGGATTTTCGGGGTTACAGGGTTTAGGGGTTATAGGGGCTACAGGGTTTAGGGGTTCGGGTTGAGGGGTTTCGGGTATTTCGGGTCGGCGAGTTCACGTCATGGGTTACCATCGACATAGAGTGTCGCTTTGCAAGGCCAGAGCCCTGAAACCCAAAGCTGAAATCCTTTTTTGCCCGTAAGAAGTGAACTCCGAAGTTCGCGGTCTGAGAGTAGTTACATTGTCCCTTATAGTATGGGCCCTTAAACCGGGGACCCCTGGTATACCCCATTTACCCCGGTCAACCCAAGGCCCATACTTCAGAACCCTTTAAAGAAGGTAAGGGACCATACTAAGGGCGCATGGTAACTACCCTTAGAATTCCGGAAAGACTTGGAAAACTAGATTGTTGCCCGGTGTGCTGGCTTCGGCGTGGTGTCAAGCAATCACAATCCAAACTACCAATGTCTTGTCAAAGAACTGCTGGAGTATAGCACAACTTGCAGACTGACCCTGCCCCTTTCGTTGCCTGCATCTTGTTCATGTATCTCTCTCAACTTTTAATCACCACATGTTGATCAAGCTTCAGATTACGACTTGTGCCCTCGGCATCCACAAAGTGCCATTCAATCTTTTTTTCTATCTACGCAGCTGTTCACCAAAACCCCGCGCTTACTGCACCGCGCAAGGCGTGATAAAATTTCGCGTGGGGATGTGGGGGATGTCGAGAAGGCTACGAATCACGGCCGCGATGCAGACCCTTTCCGAGCCGAATCCTTGGGGCCCATGATCCCAATAGTCCCAAGAACCCAGTTGCACCCAGAGTTTGGCGTCCTAAACCCTCTCTCTCTCTCTTCCTAAACCCTAAATCCTAAGCCCTAAACCCGAATCTCAACCCTCAACCCTCATTAAGCCTCTCCACAATGCCTGGGCACGAGTGGCTGAGGTCCCTGCGCCAATCCGTCGGGGATCCGCGTCGTGGTTGTTTGTGGGCAGGTGCCGTCGCGGAGACCCTGTGAAGACAAGTCTTAAGCTCTACCAGAAACCCCAAAACCTAAACCCTGAACCTGAAACCCTAAACCTTAAACCCCAAACCCTAAACCTTTAACCCTAAACCCCAACCCCTAAACCCTGAGTTCCCGGAGCCTGCCTCCTAAGGCCATAAGAGTGGTTTCCAAGGCTTCATGGGCCGAGACAATTTGCTCCCAGCCAGGCTCCGAATTGCTGCGACTCCGGGTTCTAGTGCTTCGTGCCTGGGCCCCTGTAGCCTCTCAAACCCTAAACCCTAAACCCTAAACCCTAGACCCTAGACCCTAAACCCTAAACCTTAAACCCTCATCTCACCGTACAGTTTGCCTTTTCAGCGGTTTGGAACCCGATCCGATGAAAGCCAGGGAAGCGATATTCCTGTCTTCGAAAGCTCGTGCTGGGCGTGATTAAAATACGCTTCGAGGCAAAGAAAGCTCTTCCTCTTGCTGCTGGGCAGTTGACCGGTAAGCAGCATGAGTTGGGTGTCGATTCTATTGTTTCAATGCTCATGACTGCGCAGTCGTTTCCGCCTTGCTGCGTCGCCGTAAGAGATCCACGGGCATGGCTAACTCTCGAGAAACAGGATTGTAGAGCATACCAGAACAACGCCCTCAAAACCTTCTTCTCACGTTTCTTCCCCTTTTTTCAGCACGGACTCTGAAACCCTGAACCCTAAACCCTATAAAGCCTATAAACCCTAACCCTACACAATCCAAGGAACCCTCTCGTCACTTCAGACCCCATGCCCTGCATCCTTGAAGTATATCCCCCAAATACACTCTACCCTTTTAAATGTTACTGTTGAGGTCACAATTTATACATTCGGGGTGAGAGTTGTGCGATTCGACCGGCCCAGGGCTCTCGGTCCAAGAGCATTATCAACTAGCAGAAGGTTTCGGGCCCGCATCCCCTAGACTGATATATATATATGTGGTCCGATGACAATGATGAAAAGTCAAAAATTGTAAGATGCGGCTGGCTGAGAATCCAAGGTTGTTCTGCAGATTGCTTTCGAGGCGAAATGCAGAAAATCTCTTTGTCATCAGAGCTGGCGAGAAACCGCTCCAGAGGCTTGAGTCTGTAGAGTTTTGCTGTAACTCCAGAGGCGCAGACAGCCAGGCCTGCCTTGGCGATGGTAAGTCAGGACGCCTCCTTCAAGCTTCAGACTTTCGGCCTTCGGGCCCTGGATTTGTAGAAGCTGCCAGAGATCTCAAAGCCGCGGCTTCCTTACTCAAATCCTTATCCGCCGGTGCTCGAAATTCGGAAAGGGTACCCCTTACGGGCCCTCCGTGGTGACAAAGACACAACAAGGGTGGCAACAATAAACTCGGAGCCCGGGGGCACGGCAAGCCGCAAGCCCAACTGTCTCTCGGCCTCTTGACAACAGACAGACCACCACCCGACCCCAGACCCAGACCCCAGAAGTGTTAATCGCGACCTCAAATTTTGTTCGCCACCCAAGACCTCCCAAAGGAAAACTGCTCTTCGTTTTTTGTTTGAGGGGGGGGGAAGGAGGTTCTATCAATGGCACCCGGACATTACTGACCCTAAATCATCCGAAAGGCGAATACTCCCCGTTTTAACCCCCACCCAAAACCCTAAGCCCTAAACCCCAAACCCTAAACCCTAAACCCTAAACCCTAAACCCCCAAAATGGAACCCCAAAAAGGCCTTGCTCCGGTGGAGCCCCACCCCCAAGGCGCCGCAGTGCGGCGCAGAGCGAAGAGAGAGGACCCCGGTGCCTTGGAAGTTCGTGTTTTGGGGTTTTAGGGTTCAGGGTTGAGGGTTTTGGGGTTTTGGGGTTCAGGGTTGAGGGTTTTGGGGTTTTGGGGTTCAGGGTTTAGGGTTTTGGGGTTCAGGGTTTAGGGTTGAGGGTTTAGGGTTTTGGGGTTCCGGGTTTTAAGGTTTTCGGGTTGAGGGTTTGGTGTATAGGGTTTATAGGGTTGATGCGGTTTATGGGGTTTTTAGGTTTTAGGTTTCAGCTTTTGGTGAGGGTGTAGGTTTACACGGCTTGAAGTTTTGTACGGCCACAGGGTCTTAAGGTTTACGTTTTCAGGGTTTAGACTCTGTGTCCTCGCAAATTCATGACTTGGCAGCCCAGTAAACCTATAACACGGGCACCCTTTTTTGGGGGGTTGGTTTCTTGACAAGGGAACCCATAACCAAAACAGGGGACAGGGTACCACTGGGCTGCATGCCGCGCCGGCGCTGTTTTCCTTCGCAAATCTGCGCTCCGCGGCTGCTGTCAGGCCGCGTTACTATGGAGTCCCCTCACGTCTGTGTGCCTACATTCCCCAGCGCCCCCTCTTCACACTTCGATCTTCTCCTTCTACCTCCACAGAGGCCTCTCCTGAGCTTTTCAGGGCTGAAGGCTTCTTAGCTGTCTTAGCGTTTGAAGGTCTTGCTTAGTGGAGAATTATGTCGATAGTCCTGACTTACAGCGTCAAGCATAATGCCCTTTTTCTCACAGGTGCGGTACGACTTCTTGGGATGTTCGGGGGGGGGGTCTCAGTCGGATTCAAGGTTTCTCTCACGCCAGGGCTCGTTCGATGAAGATGTTGGGGTCTTCTCCCTCTGCTTGCCTGGAGCGATCGCTGGATGCAAGAGGTTTAGGGTTTAGGGTTTACTAAACCCTACACCCTAAACCCTAAACCCTAAACCCCGAACCCCAAACCCTAAGCCCTCTCCCCTCCCAAAGCCCGCAGCACGGCCCAGAAGTGGCCTCTGCGACGCTTGCTCGATTAGCGCAGTGGCCCTCCTCGTCGGCTGGGAGGGTTCGTTTCTTTGGCTGCGTGTGGCTTAGGGTTTAGGGTTTAGGGTTCAGGGTTTAGGGCTTAGTTGCTGAGTTCATAAGCCCCCCAAAAGTGTATACTTTTAGTTCTATAGGGGATTATAGCTTGCTGAGTTCATAAGCCCCCCCAAAAGTGTATACTTTTAGTTCTATAGGGGATTATAGCATCCCAAAAAGTACTCATTGAGCTACTAAGCTTGTGTTGCACTGCTTTCAGTGAGTACATGGCAGAACCTGAAGTGCGACAGTATGAGCATTTTACTAGGGTTTAGGGTTTAGGGTTTAGGGACCTGTAGAGAACCACCTTCTAAAGTTCTTGCTCTTGGGGTTTCGTGTTTGTGTGGATGCCTTTGCAGGGATATCATGTTACACTTTGAACCCTCACCCTCTCAAGCCAGGGAACATCCTCAGCTTGTGGCGAATGCTCATCACGAATCAAGTGAGCTGCTGTTTTGAGGGGTCAGGGGGTTTAGGGTTTAGTTTGGTTTGGCCACCCGCCAAGCAGGCAAGCCACACTGCAGGGGAACCCTTCGGGACGATTGAACATTCTTCGGGTTTAGGGTTCAGGGTTTCAAAGTGGCTCACGGGTCTACCTGTATTTAGTGGTGGCTCCCATCAACAACACTCCCGCGCCAGCTGGCAACCCAAACCCTGACCCCCAAAATCCTTACCCCAAAGCCGTATAGTCCTTGCTATGGGAACGACCCCAAACCCCAAACCCCAAACCCCCAACCCTAAACCCATATCCTCAGCCCCGAGTTCTCCATGTGAGGGTCCTGAGGGGCATGCGCGCCAAGGTCTCAAAGGTGCTTTCATCCAGGACCAAGCCCAACTCTTCAGCCTCTCTCCCGAGACTTGCGGTTTTTGGGGGGGTTTAGGGGTTTTAGGGGTTTTAGGGGTTTGAGGGGTTTGAGGGGTTTTAGGGGTTTTAGGGGTTTGAGGGGTTTTCAGGGTTTTTGGGGTTTTTGGGGTTTTTAGGGTTTTAGAGTTTTGGGGTTTTCAGGGTTGTGGGGTTTTTAGGGGTTTAGAGTGTTGGGGGTTTTCGGGTTTTGGGGGTTTGGGGTTTTGGGTGTATGGGGTTTTGGGAGTTTTAGGGTTTTGGGGTTTAGGGGTTTTGGGGTTTGGGGGTTTTAGGGTTTTGGGGTTTGGGGTTTATAGGGTTTAGGGGTTCTAGGGCTTTGCTGAAGGGTACAATCTGTTGTTGTTCTTTGACGGTTGTTTTGCGTAGGGTGGCAGAAGGTCTAACCGCACCCTTGCAAGACACACAAGATTCTCGATCACCCTACCTACTGAACAGCCCTAACCCGTTGAAGAACCCTACACCCTTTTGTTCGTTGCACCTGTGAAACTACCCCAACCCTTTAGTATGAAAACAAAACATCCTCAGCCCTAAACGCCCTGCCCCATGGGGATTTGTGTGTTCCCTGCCGCCTTCGGATGGCAGCAATGTCCCTTAAGGCTTGTAATTTGAGGGTCTAGGCACCCTAAACCCCAAACCCTAAACCCTAAACCGTAGGGTCAGGGCTTTAGGGGATCGGGGCCTTCATGCGACTCTGGTTGCCGGTGTGGTTCTTGCCGCCAACACCCTTGCCACCCGGGCCGTCGCGCAGGATGTTGGAAATGGCGGCCTTAATATGCTTAACTTACCTATACTGAACTTGGAACCCTAGCAAAAGTTATAATCTTAGCTGTTTCTTAGGAATTAAAGTGCCCAACAATTACAAATTCTCTCCCAATACCCCTAAGTTACTTTGAGAAGAGGATGTTTGAAACTACACCGTCCGATCTCTGGACTGGTCTTCTTGGAATGTCTAGGGGCATCCGGGTTTTTGGAACAGGCCCCCATGGAAGGCTTCGAAGTGCTTAGAGGCTTAGGGGCATCTTCCCGCCTTCACAAGCGTGCGCACTTAACAGAACCGCAGGCTTAGGCCTACGCATGCAACAGAAAACTTCGCGTGCTGTTGCCCTTCCAGGAACGTGGGGCTTCAAGAAGGCGCCCCAGAAAACAATTAGGTCCCCCTAAACCCTAAACCCTCTCTCTCTCTCTCAGGCATTCGAAACGTCAAGCCTGCCAGGGACAGCTCTCGTGGCTACCCCCGTGAAAGTGTAAGCGGGACAGTCAGAAGTGTGCGAATTACGGTGAGAAAGAGCAAGCGCATGCAGCAACAGCCAGACTACAACTTCGCAGAGAAGACCCTAGAAATGCGACGTAAGTCACGGATAGCTAAGCGCCTTAATCGTTGCTGCTCAATTAAAGCTTGTATGCCCGCATCTTCAGGCAAATCAAGACACTGCGAGGACTCACAAGGTTCATCTTCGCTTGCAAACCCTAAACCCTAAACCCCTAATCTACTCCTTGCGTTTAGAAATAACGGCTTTAGGGACCTTGAGATGATGGTAGCTCAACAGCTGAAGTCGCTATGATCTACCTCCCGAGGGCAGGGGAAGGGGTGAGTTGGGCGCCCCTCTTGGTTCCTGAAACTCAGGTTCAGCAACGCGCATGCCTTCTTCAATCCCTCAGCCGCAATTCTAAACCCTGAAGGCCCGAAGTTTTAAGTCCCGTTCAACCCTTGGCTCTCTAAAGAACGGATTTCCTCAACCTGGCCGGATCCAACGCAACGAGCGCGCTATGAAGCCGGGTTGCCTGGATGTAGTTGTTCAGGTTGCCAATGCCCTTGCTACCTTTGCTCATGCCCTGGCGCCGAGGCTCTTGCAGGTCTATTTTGTTGGAAGGCCGGTGGCATTCAGCAAATGTTGATGCAGGTGTCTTACATTTTTTGTTGCGTGAAGAGCGTGTCTGTATTCTTTACATACACATTGGCATCTTCATTCAACCGCAACTTGGATCCATGGGCGTAGATTATACAATACATGCCAGCAGGAGTTGAACGTTGAAGCCCCATAGCTACGGAATCGTAGTTCGGGTTCCGGGGGGTGCGGGCACAATCCCCGGACCTTGATACTCCAGTATACAAATACCACCTACATTGGGTCTAAGAGTCCAATATCTGCAAATGCAGCCTGCACACTTCAGGCTATATTTGGAGCCCAGGGGATTGGCTCATGCTAAATGTTTCCCTTGTACTTCACATCTAGTTGTAGGGTTTAGGGCCATAAGGAGAGGCTCTCATCCTTAGAGTGTGACGGCACGAGACATAGGACGCGAACACGGTTACTCTGATCGTTCATCGACCCAACGTGTTCGCCCAGGAATCTCATAAAGGGCTGCCTCATAAATCCTAACTTGGAAGCTCATGCGTACTCGTAACCCCAAGTATAAGTCTACTGATAGCCTACTCGGGGGACTTAGGGGGCCTTATAGGTGCAGTCACATACTTGGGGTTCTAAGTGCAACCCTAAACCCTAAACCCTAAGCCCTAAGCCCTAAGCCCTAAACCCTAAACCCTAAACCCTAAACCCTAAACCCTAAACCCCCCTGAACCTCCATGTATGTCCCATCAAGCCCAGGCCCAACCTTGGACTGAAGGTTCTGGAGTAACTCCAAGGCGTCGTCCAGACCAATGCCTTATGGCGGGGAGGGGGGAAGGTTTAGGGTTTAGGGTTTAGGGTCTAGGGTCTAGGGTCTAGGGTCTAGGGTCTAGGGTCTAGGGTCTAGGGTCTAGGGTTTAGGGTTTAGGGTTTAGGGTTTAGGGTTTAGGGTTTAGGTTTAGGGCTTAGGGTTTAGGCTCAAGCTTCCAGTGCTTCGACTCAGTGAACTTCTGGAACGTCTTCACAGGATCTTTACATCGACACATTTTACAAGGCGCATTGTAAACGATTACAGGTGACAATGTTGGATTTCTACACCTCTGTGTCTACACTTTTGGCTTCAGTCTAGCCGGAATTCAGGCAAAGTGTGTGTTGAGATCTACGTTGTCGACTATAGACTTCCTGCCAGGTCATATGAATCACATCGTTTCGTCAAAAGGCCATGCCCACCCGCAAAACCCTCAAATCCCACTCCCTAACCGCATATTTTAGAGCCTTGCAGCTGCCGAAGCCCAACCAAACCACTGCATGCAACCAAACCTCATCCGAAACACCCCTCCTACACCCAAGCCCCCAGATGACCCGAGCAACTCACGAAAACGAGCTTTCAAGACCCACAACCTAAAGCAACCTAAACCTCCAACATGCCTAAAGCCATTCCTTTGCTAGGCCAAGGTACAGCGCAGGGCCAGCAGCGTGGCAGGAGAAATTTCCTGGCCTGCCCACAGATCCTGCAGGTTTAGGGCTAGGGTTTAGGGTTTAGGGTTTAGGGTTTAGGGTTTAGGGTTTAGGGTTTAGGGTTTAGGGTTTAGGGTTTAGGGTTTAGGGTTTAGGGTTTAGGGTTTAGGGTTTAGGGTTTAGGGGTTTGGGGTTTGGGGTTTGGGGGTTAGGGTTCCAAAGATGGCTTCGGTTTGGACATCTTGCACGCTGCTTGTGTAGGGCTGCGCGATTTCCGAGGCATAACCTCTCGTGGTAGTAATGGCACTGTCTGTCCTCGAGCATGTCGATGACCCAGCCCAACCCCAACCTAAAGCCTCCAGTGAACCCTCAAAATAAGTGGACCAGCGTGCTTCGTTCGACATATTCCGTTGTCTTGGGATCTCCAATCGAGATCGATGCTATCTGCAGCAGGCCACAGTACCTGCTCCTAAAGTGGGCAAACATCATTGTCAACTGCTGGGCCGTTTGTGTGAGCACCGCTAGTACAATACTGTGCCAAAACACAGAACATGAAACTGAAGAACGACGAGAATTAAAACAATAAAGACAAATAACAAGATGAAGAGGTGCGACAGTCACATTCATCATGATGCTGATGATATCAATAGCTATAGATCATCACCACCGCCCCTAGAAGGCTGGGGCTCCCAAATGCTGCACATGCCAAACCAACGCAAGGGGAGTTAATGTTCTCCTGCTTTTAGGGTTTCAGGATTTTTGCGGGGGTTTAGGGTTTAGGGTTTATAGGGTTTAGGGTTTAGGGTTTAGGGTTTAGGGGCGTAGGAGTTGATGGTCTCCAGTCTCCTGCTCATTCAAGTCCAGCACGGACTTCTCCAGTGTCGTGATGTCCTCACCACCACATGGAATAGAAAACTCAGACCCCCAAGGATGTTCCCCTAAAGAGGTTCCCTTCATGTGCCCTAACCTGAGATTTTCTTGGAGGAGCTTTCAAGAGGATCCCCAAAACACAAGGGTACAATCTCAGGGGTCCGAGGCAGAGTCCCAGGACAGTTCACTAACTCCAGGCCCGCTTCCATGCCGGGGATTTTGGAAACACTGCGAACTCACAGGGTTTAGGGTTTAGGGTTTAGGGGTTTAGGGTTTGGGGGTTTAGGGGTTTAGGGGTTTAGGGTTTAGGGTTTAGGGTTTAGGGTTTAGGGGGGCTTTCGGAGCAACAGGGATTTGGTTCAGAGTAGCCACTCTAAGTATGACGGCATTACGGCATTAGTCGTAACATGGTCATCACCACCATCATCACCACTGCTGCTATTGTCATGCAGCCCCTGGCCACCAGTAAGTAATGAAGAACAACTCTTTCCGTGGGTCTCTGGGTGCACCAAGCTCCCCAAGGTGTTTGTGAAGGCTTCAACTCCCTTACGAACACTTGGAGGTTCATGGGCACTTATAACCCCACGCTAAAGTATACGCATAAGCCCCCTAAGCCCCCGAAGTAGGTTATAGGTAGACTTATAATTGGGAGGTTTAAGTACCCATGCACCTCGAAGCACTGGAGGTTGTTTTGGCATCTTCAGGACAAAAGCCCTTTAAAGCGCAACCCAAGCAACCTCGGGGAGGAGGCCGCCGCGTGAGCCCTTGCCGCCATCCTTTCCTGGAGGGCTTCGGAACCAGGTCGGCCGTTTGCTTTGGCAAATGTTCCGAAATATTCGGGCCCTCAGGTTTAGGGTTATAGGGTTTAGGGTTTAGGGTTTAGAGTTTAGGGTTCAGGGTTTAGGGGAGAATCTTAGCTATCCCAAGGCCTAGGACATGCAGGTTGACTGTTCTCTAGTGTTGGGGGAGGCTGTGGCTCAGTCACCCCAGGCACCGGCCAACTGCATTCTCCTATCTTCGCGGCTCCTACATCTGCCAGACACCCGGAACTCAACCCTCAACCCTAAAACCCTAAAACCCTAAACCCTAAACCCACTGGAATCTACAGCCCGCAAAAAAACACAAAGGCTGGGCGGCCTCCCCAGGAAGAGTAACTGCTTCCACCATAGCTGGGGCCGGCCCCATAGCCGCCCCCATAGCCGCCACAGCCTTTTCCGTAACCTGACGCTTAGGCTGGGGTGTGCTCCACTTAAGTTTTTTCAGGCGTTTTGGCATTTTGGTCAACCAGGCAGATGTTGAAATGACCACCCGAAGCAAAAAACTCCGAAGGAAACCCCGGAGACCCCTCAGTCCCCTGCTTGACGGAGCTCTTGCCTCCATGCTGCCTGAACCTCCTAACAATGCTTCATTTTGATGTGTTTGGGCTGAAGGGGGCTTGGCAACCCCCCCCCCCTGTAAGTCCTTAAAGCCCTAAAGCCTTTAAAGCCCTTAACGCAGAGCCCTTAGAGCCCTCAAAGCCCTTGGAGCCTGCCGCAAAGCATCCTGTACTTGAACCCCCTAACGCTAAACCGCCATGCGGTGGGAAAGCTGCTGCCGCCACCAATGGGGGCACTGTAGCCGTAGCCTTTGCCACCACCCCCATACGGCCCGTCCTTGGCTGATCATCCGGAAACACTGCGCGCTCTGCACATTTTTTCCGGGTCTGGTACACCGCACCATGACTGCGTTTAACTTTCGGTTCGTCTTCAAGTTTGTTGCTTGTGTTTTTTGTATTCTGCAATGCCGCCGTTTTTGTGGTAGCTTGCTCTACCCTTTCAAGCATCTACCTGCAAAATATTGTTTGGGGGCAGTTGTGTGCCTTTGTTCGTGCCGCCAGCGGTGTAGGTCGAAAGCACGAGGAAACTCTAGACCCTTTGCCGCAGGCTTGCAGGGATCCTCGCCTGGAAGGGTCTGAACCCTATAAACCCTAAACCCTAACGCCTAGATCCTGAACCCTAAACCCTATAAACCCGAAATCCTAGACCCTGAACCCTAAACCCTACTCCACTTGCCCGATCAAACTCTTTAACTCTCTCCTCAAACTCTGCCCCCCTCCCCCATCCACCCAGACAAAAGACTCCGCCCTAAACCCTAAACCCTAAACCCTAAACCCTAAACCCTAAACACTCCATTGTGAGGCCGTGCCAAGGCTCAAAGCCTGGTCGACCACGGCCGTAGATAGATTCATAGAGGCTGCCTTGGGGACGACATGAACCCTAAAAGGGTGTATGGGCTCATATACCTTACTAATCGGGTTTAGGGTTTAGGGTTTAGGGTTTAGGGTTTAGGGTTTAGGTTTAGGATTAGGGTATATGACCCCCCAACTTTAGGGTTCATTTGGTCCCCAAGGTGCTGCCCGACTTGCCACCCCCGTAGCCTCCGCCGTAGCCGCCGCCTCAACGCAGGGACGCGCGCGCGCGGCGCGCGCGCGCGCGCGCGTGCGAGAGACGGAAAGGTCATCAGGCGCTGATTCGATGCTTGTGTGTGAGCCCAGCTTGTCAGCTTGTGAGTAAGTAGCAACTACACTAGTCTAGTGGCATGAAGTGATCACAAACTGTCTTGCTGACTAATGGGCTTGTTCCTGCCTCCGCCGAAGCCCCCGCCTTTGCCAAAGCTGCCGCCAGCTTCGGATCGCGGCACATATCCTGCGAGCTTAGTATTAGCTTCATCTGGGCCCCTCCACCCCCAGCACCCCAAGCTTGGGGTTTAGGGTTTGGGGTTTAGGGTTTAGGGTTTAGGGGCCATCTGTTTGAGGGGGCTTGGGATTTTGACCCACTTCTTCTCCAGTGTTCACCATCCAGCTCTTCACTACCTTTCCGAAAGCCAGACCCCAAACCCCTAATGCGAACGCAGGTTGAACCCCAGAGATGGCCCTAATTACTCTGGATCCACCGCATCAGATCAGCATGAGCCCAAGCTTTCCCTTGAGGGTCCAGGTGCTTTTGTGGGGACAACCTGGGGCCAAAGTCGTTTCTATGCAATGTTTTGGGGGTCGAAGCATGTCGGACATGCCAAGCCGGTCCGCGGGAAATGGTGGCAACGACCTGAGACGGGTGCAAAGGGGCATCAGGATGTTTGTTGGGGGCGCGGGACTTTGGGGGGGGGAGGGGGCAAGACAATAGTGTATGGGGGGCTTGTCGGCGCTAAACCTTAAACCCTAAACCCTAAAAGTGGATGTAAAGGCTGTAAAGGGAGGCCTTGGGTGCCCGCTTGGATGCACTGCACAGAACACCCAGCAAAGACATTGCGGGTTTAGGGTTTAGGGCTTGGGATGTTCCCCCTCATTCTAGCAGTCCTTAGTAGGGATCACAATAGGGGGTACTATAATCCCTAAGGACTGTTAGGATACGGGGGAACATCCCAAACCCTGTCTGTTTCCCCCCCAACAAACGACTGGTCAAGAGGATGGCTCGAACTAATTTTAGACTCCTATACACTCATGACCTGCATTCGGGATGATGTTGGGCAATTCTTCCAGGCATGTGTGGGGTTCAGAAGCCCGTTGAGCGTTCAGATCCAGCTTGAGGCAAGAAGGTATGTAGACTAGACTGCGCCTAGTACCCTATACTACCTTTTACAAAGGCCTAAAGCCTAAAGCCTACGGTCCCCTACGGTGGGAGGCTTGAGCTATAGACCCTGTTCTCTTGTGTTGGCATGCTTGCAAACAAATCCAAAGAAATCTCGATTTCACAAAGAACGAAAGGCCCTACTCTGTTGTTGCGCACATACCCCTAAACCCTAAACCCTAAACCCTAAACCCTAAACCCTAAACCCTAAACCCTCTCACAGACAGCCCAGGCGCGTAGTTGGAGGGATCCCGAAGCTCGGTGTGCTTTTCGGCCACAGCCTCCACCCCCCCCCCCCCCCCCCCCCCCCCCCCCCCCCCCACCAGAAGCAAAAAGCCCGATCCCAATAAAACCCTGAACCATGAGACCACCACATTACGAAAGCTCTGTAAACTCCATATCCCAAGAAGCATCCCAAAACCTCGTAGGATTCCCTAGGAAGGGTGAAGACAAGCAGGGCTCGTAGGGACCCAGGACTGCTTTGAGGACTGTTCTGTTCGCTAGGGGTTCCTCCCACTACTCGCTACTTTCTGTATTTCCTAAAACCCTTTTTGCATGAAGGCCTCTGGGCAGTCTTGCCGGCCTAAACACCCTAAACCCTAAACCCTAAACCCTAAACCCTCAAGCCTACAGTAAACTCCGGACAGTTGGAACATGGTTTAAGGATGATTAGAGCTGGGATTCCCTTGGTATACCTTTTGGGGACTGAGGATTAGAATGTTCCAACTTTTGGGAATCTACTTTGAGCCATACACGCTGAGTTGAGATGCAGCCGCTACTTGTTGGGGGTAGCGAGTTCAGAGGCTCCTGGATGCGAGGGTTCGCAACAGCGGCCCGAAGTCTCCAAATAAGCTGTATGCGGGCTACGCGTTAGGATTTCAGGGACTTAGGGGGGTTGGGGTTTAGGTTGTGGCAAGCCGGGCCGAGGCTGAAAGCGCAAGGTTCGATCCCAAAGCAGATCTCAATCTCTGAAGATCTCCAGATCTCTAGGACTCTAGGACTCTCTCTCTCTCTCTCTCTCTCTCGTGCCTCCAAAATCTCCGAGGCATGCGACGCAGGGACCGTGAGAAGGGCCTGTTGGCCAGTTGATGTGACTAGGTTCTACTTGGGGGAGAGAGACTTCAAGAGATTCGAGGCTGCTAGTGAGTCGGGGAGCTCCTGGCTCCCAGGTATGGCAGAACTGTACGGATTGGAGTATAGGCCGCTAGACATCACTTCCTTATCCTTTCCCCTTTCCACTACGTGCGAAACCAAGCAAGGTGGGAAGAACCACCATAAGCCCTACTTGCCTTGCTGGCTGTCCCCGGAGGTGAGGTGGTCTTGGCGGGATACAGCTCGACAGTGCCCGGAATGCCCACCCGTAGGACTGTAGAACACCCCTTAATCTCGCGATGCCAAGTATGCTCGAGGCTAGGAGAGGGGCGCTCTGGCTTCTCTCTCAAGGCTGCTTTCTGCAGCTGGCCTCCTGGGCTCAGTACCTTATTACTAAGTCACTGAAAGTAAAGGCTCCCTCACTCAGGTAGCTGTAGCAACAGGATTCATCCACCTCGACAAGCAGACAGTGGGGGAAGCTGCCTGTACAGCCTCGTCGGTCAATGACAGGCCGGCTTCCTCTGCCTTCTGCATGCCTCCAGGCGAAACACGATTTGCAACGCTCGGCTTGCCTTCAGCTTTCCAGCTACTTTCTGGAAGGCAGGTGTATGCTTGAGCAAGCAAGGTATCGCAAAACCAACGCAAGGCATCCTGTATGCATTCAATACTTGCCTGAGAACAACTGGCTTCTCATCCAGACTTGCTACATATGGCCCAAACCCTAAACCCTAAACACTAAGCCCTAAACACTCCGAAGAGCTGCAGCCCGAAGTCTAACTGGCCCTCCCAACCCCGGCCTTTTGTGTTGATCAGCGCCTGTGCTGCTGCCTCGGCATTCGATCCCCGCGGTGCCGCCGGAGGTGGTGGCTGCGAGATTTGGCCTGGCAAAGGACTAGTTTAGGGTTTAGGGTTTCGGGGGGCTTCGGGTGGTGGAGAAAGTAGCTGATTCAGGCTTTCGGAGCTAGGGTCTTGTAATCTCGGGGCGGAGGATTCCAGAGGACTCACAGTTGAGCGCATGGCGTTGCTGGGAAGGGATGAGTGAGGTGTCAATGCTTGGTGGCGCACCCCAACTTGGGTTATTGTTCAGAACTGGGTCATATGGCACACAACAAAGCGTTCTTCTTTTGTTGGCTTAATGGCTAGGTTGACAAAGGGTCACAGGAATCCTCTAGCCTAGATCACAATATCTGCCCTCAACACCCTGAGCGCCTTTCCCGCCGATGGCACCCGTAGTGTGCATGCTGCTGCGTGGAACATACCTTGCTGGGGCTTCGGTGTTTTTAGCCGGTGCTGCCATGCCATGCCGCACCTTGTGAACGACATGAATCCATAAAATTGGGTTCACCTACCAAACGCTACTCTTAATTCCTACATTAAAGGATAATTATGTTCCACGGAAACCCTCCTAAACCCTAAGCCCAAAACTCTGCTAGAGTTCATCCATAGTCTCGGGGCCTTGATGCCATGGTCCGTGGGCGCTGTTTGGGATTAATTAAGAGGTAATGTAGGACAGGCATGAAGGCTCAGTGGTTCCCCGCCAGAAGCAGTGGGAGGGCTTTAGTTCTTTTGGGCTTTCTTACGGGATTCCTTAGGGGCTTCTTTTGTGTGGCTTAGGCGTCTGGAAGGGGGGGGGATCTTTGAAGTCGCCTGGGTATGAAAGTCTTGGGCTGCTTGTCTCGTCGCGCATCCCAAGCACTTTAGCTAACTATGTGGCTACAAATGCAGCGGCGCAGCCTGGGAACTCCTGAACATCCTAGTTTAAGGCGAAACTCGACACCTTGATTTCGCAAAAGCTAACTGACCCTGTACAACCTAAACCCACCCTAAACCCAAAACCCAAAACCCAAAACCCTGAACCCTGAACCTCGACGCTAAGCAAAATTCAAAGCCTCAGCCCAGCAGGAGATCAAGCCGTGGTACCCCCGCTTGACGGTCGCGCAGATGTAGTTTGTGGGATCCTGCGGCTGCTCCGAAAGCCGCACAAGGGGGAAGGTTTAGGGTTTAGGGTTTAGGGTTTAGGGTTTAGGGTTTAGGGCTTAGGGCTTAGGGTTTAGGAAGGTGCAACCAATAGAAGGCTTATGATCTCTTCTCCCTCGCAAACCTGCATCGCCTACCCCATCGCCTTCTCGCTAGTCTACTACTTGCTTAAGCACCCCCCCCCCCCCACCCCACCCCCGGCAAAAAACACACACACACACACAATGCAACGCAAATCTTCCCTAGAAAGGCGACATGGGGATTGTGCTCATGTGTTCTTTGAGGGTTCTTAAGCAAATAGTTTTTGTTCTTCCTGCAACGCCCGAGGCAACTTCTGCCAAGGGCAGAAGCATGCGGGATGCTAGTCATCTCCCAAGTGGGACTCCTGGGTCCTTTACGGTTTAGGTTTAGGGCTTAGGGTTTTTTATAAGTGCCCTTGCACGGTTTAGGGTTGAGGGTTTAAGGCTCCTGAACCCTGATACACTATAAACCCTCAACCCTTTTGCAACACGCTTGGCACTTCGCCTGGGTCGGACAGCACCCCCAGAAACGGTCTCCAAGACCCCTCTATAGGTATGGGGTCGAGGGTTTCGGGCCCTAAACTCGAAACCCAAGTACCCCCAAAATCCGAAACCAACCGATGCCAACGTCAACGATCCAGCTACCGGCCTTGAGGGATCCGCCCTGGTACTTCTGCTGCGTGGCCTCCAGGAGCTCCTAGCAAAAGTCAGGGGCTGCAAGCAAAGATCTCATAGGGTTTAGGCTTTCTAATTAGGGTCCAACCTTCCTCTCTCTTTCCCTGTCTCTCTTTCGGCATGACTCGTAGTAGGGTTTAGGCTTTATTTGTCTCTCTTTCGCTATCTCTCTTTCGGTATCTCTCTCTCTCTCTCTCTGGCCGGTGTACCTGGTAGCATCACACTTGCAATCGACGTACGTTGCATCACAACCGCTCGGAGCTCTGCCGCTCGAGAATGGCGATTCTACCCTGCGCTCACCCAAAAAAAACACATCCTCGCACACATGGTGATGAGCCCAGCTGGTTGCGCTGCCGTGTTTGAGGCTGCTCTTGCACATCTGATGCTGACAAAGCCCCAGTTCGAGATAGAAACTAACATGCTTGGAGTCCAAAGGAAAAACCCCAAGCCAAAGGAACCCCCGGCGTCCAAGGCATGGTTGTAGGGCAAACTCTCCAGTGCAGATAGTGCCTGGCAGGACTCTCTAAATTTCTGGTCTCTTTGGGGCTTTGTCGGGGGTGTCCTTGTTCGAGAATACGGTTCCCATATCTTGCAGGCTTGCAGGGACCCTACTTCACATCTGAGTTGTGGGTGAGCTCCGGCTTGTGATTGGAAGCCTAGACAGGCCACCTGTAGTACTGGAAACAGGTGCCCCACAACCATGCTGCTAGTAGATAGCCTCTTGGGTCACCAACTTCATTTTAGTTCCAGAAGGAGACCGTCACCGTTTGGGCCGAAGCCCTGAAGATCCCAAAGCCCCAAAGCCTCAAAACACCGAGCAACAGTCTTCATGTTCTGCACAGAGGTTTAGGGCTGAGAGCCTCGGGTTTAGGGTTCACCCTAAACCCTAAACCCTAAACCCTAAACCCTAAACCCTAAACCCTAAACCCTAACCCCTAACCCCTAAACCCTAAACCCTGAACCCCAAACCCTAAGGGTTTCTCTCTTGTTGAGGGGCGACCTCCGGGAGCCCCGTGATTGTTTAGTCGACTTGTCCGTTCTCTTGTTTAAGTGCAAAGTTCGTCAATAGGGGGATATGTAGACATGCATGCGCGTGCATTTACTAGCAAATTAATATTAATATATATATATATATATGTATCTTCATATCAAAAAACTATAAACAATCATATATATATATATATATACATATAGTTATATAGTATATATAGTGACACCCAATCGTTGCCTCTGGCCCCAAGTCCAGGCCAAGCCGGCTCACCTCGTTCAGCAGCGACATGGCCCCTATGCAAGCCGTGCGCAGAATGTGAAAACCTCGGTGCAAGGCCTGTTTCCTTAGGGGCTCTCCGTCTCAGCTTAGGGTAGAAGAGCGGGGCGCTCGATGTGTAGGAAGGGCCAACTCCCTATGTGAGCGCGCGTCTTCAGCGTGGAGCTTGCGTGTGCGGGTTTGCAGGCTCTGTTACTTTGTGCTTTGAGTTTTGCCTTGAAATACCCAAGCAGTGTGGATGCACAAGATCCATCTCATGTGCATGATGAACCTGCATCCGGCTGATCCCTGCGGTTGAAGGGGAAGCCACGACACGGAGCGCGCGAGGTTCATCGCTGTGACGGTAGGCAAGCCATCAACCAAAAACCCAAAAGCCCAACCCAGCTATCAAAGCGGAGTTCCTGAAGTCCTGAAGACCTTCACTCTACGGTAGCCCAGTAACCATATTATGACAAGGGCACCCCCTTTTTTGGGGTTGGCTATTTTACAAGGGAAACCACAAACAAAAAAAAAGGTAAAGGGTACCACTGGGCTACCAAGATTCAAATTTTTACCCCCTGAAAAACCCCTTAGTGAACATCTTTCAGCTGTTGAAGACCCCAAAGAAGCAACCATCCACAGGTGCCAGCCAGCCCTTCGCCCCCTAAGGTTCTACAAGGACCCTGGAGGGGCCCGGTTACTATGGTAACTATACTTAAGGGGTTTCTAACCCAAGTTGGGATCCTTATAACCCAACTTGGGGTTCTTACAACTCTACTTATAGCTAGGGGGCCCCGCCTTGTACCTGTAACCACAAAACCTTGGGATCTTCCCGCGTATACTAGCCTACTAGGGACTCGAATAGGGCACGATTAATCCCTATTCAGGACTGTGAGTATAAGGGGGAACATCCCAAATAAAACCCTAGGAGTTGTGATCCCTCACTTAGGTAGAAACTCGGTATACAGCCCCCTTTCATGGCGGCACAGAATAAGGGACCCGGATAGCTAGACGACACGAAGGGACTTAGGGACGTTCCCTCAATAGCGAGGGCACCGAAGGTGGCTGTTGTGAAGCATCCGGAGTTGGGGGCTGATTTTGCAGTTTGGGGTTTAGGGTTTAGGGTTTAGGGTTTGGGGTTTAGGGTCTGGGGAAAGGGGGGTTGGCTTAAGGAAATTGCGGGCTGTGGACGCTCCCTCTGAACCAAAGCTGAGTTCAAAGGGTTTGTAAGGGCCTTAGGGCTGCCAGGCTGGGAGCTGCAAACCGTGCTGACGGCATGGTTTTCCCGCAACCAAAACTGGCGCACCTCTCTGGAACGATTGAACTTCCATTGAGAGTGATGTGTACCTGTTGTCCCGGCATTCTGTGCGTCTGACATGTAGGGTTTAGAGTTTAGGGTTGCTGCCGGGCATGCTTTGTGTTGCTCCCAGGACAAGCTGCTTCATGAATCCTGCGACGTGTGCATGCTGCAGTGTTTCGAGATGAAGTTGTCATGCTACTGCTCGAAGCACATCTGGCATCTGGGTGGCATGGAAGCGCAGATGCTCGCCCCCTTAGACATGACAAAATTGGCCCTGACCCTAAACCCTGGACCCGAAGCCCTGAACCGTAAACAAAAACAATAATTCTAAACCCCCAAACCGGGGATCCGAAAAGAAGGGGAACCTTTCAAGGGTTCCTTCTCGAAGGATTGTACCCGATTATGGGATACTTCAACAGCAAGCCCAGAGGCTCGAATGGGGCACTCCTCCCGAGCCCACGCCCACCAAACCCCCGAAACTTGAAGGGTTTAGGGTTTCGGGTTAAACTCTAAGCCGGAAACCCTCAAGCACCCCAAAGCCCTCAGCCCAAAACCGTGACAGAACCGCAGGCCTTTAAGCCTTAAGATCTGAGCGTTTCGAGGGCCCTAGGATGGTGAACAAATGGTGCAACCCTAAACCCTAAACCCCCGATTTCTAAATCCTAAGCCCCAAGCCCCAAGCCCTAAGCCCTAAACTTATCTGCCCAGCTGTCACTCGGATGCGCTGCAGAGTTTAGGGCTTAGGGTTCAGGCACAGCCCGTCTTGTGTGGGTTCCATGCCACCAGTGGCCCAGAGGCTGAGTCTGCAGGCCAGCATCTCCGCAGCTTGCACGGGGCTTGGGCAAAAACCAGCGCACATGCCCTAAACCTGAATCCTAACCGTAAACCCTAAACCCTAAACCCGAAGCCCCAAAACGTTCCAAGTCCCGGCCTCTTCCTCGGGTCGAGAAGGTGCGACTGGGGTACTTATGCCGAGGGGAAGAGATCCAAGATCCCATAGAAAACTAGTTCATGGTTGGGATAATATGAAAAATGTTACTTGCTATTCCTTATTGGGTTTAAGTACCCTTAAAGATGTAAAATGTTACCCAACTATGACAAAGAAAAGAGCAGGCTGCCAGTGTGGTACACAACGGGCTTCGCATGCTGACGACAACTAATTGCAACCCATGGACCCCCGTGCGACGGAAACCTACACGTTAGTGCCGGGGCCACAAGCTCAATAAGTCTCCGTAAGCTCTCGATCCCTAGCGGGTATAGGGGACACCTGCAATCCTAGAATAATTTTCGCACGCTCAACCTAAGCGCAAAGCACTCATCGTGGGGTTCCCTTTGTCGCAGCACTGTCGCAGCCAAAACCCTAAACGATACTTCCTGAAACCCCAAACCCCGCTGCTCAGAGACCTAACCGATCCCGCTGAGGCTTCAGGAAGATCTCGCTGGCCTTTCAAAGAATTAGGGAGTTAGGGTTCTAGGTTTTGCAGTACAAGGGCTCATATGTTGCTGGACGGAAGGGAGGGGTTAGGCGAATCTCAGGTTGTAGTGCGTCCCGTCTGTATTGGGGCTTACAGTTCGGGGCTCATGGTGCGGGAGACTAGCTTTAGGGTTTAGGGTTTAGGGTTGGAGAACTCCGGAGGCGGTTTTATTGCGGCCTTCACCTGCATTCTTTGGTGGGAAGTGGCCATTTGTGGGGCCCCAAACCCTTTTTGCACCGGGCCCCTCAACCCTAAACCCCAAACCCTAAACCCTATGTTCATCCGTTTGATCAGGATATGGACTCCTGCGTATCAGGACACTCATCCCCTCGCCCAGATATGTTAAGGGTTTGGGGTTTAGGGTCAAGGATTTGGAATTTAGGGTTCAGGGTCTAGGGTCTAGGGTTTAGGGTAACCCCCCCCCCCCCCCCGCCCTAGTTGGAGGTTCAGGGTAGGTTCTAACCGTACTTAGAATTGGGGGTCGAAGTGCCCATGAACCTCCAAGTGCCTCCTAATATTAAATGCCCCTCATATACTACAACATAGATATCATGGGGGGGGGGGGGGGGGTATTCAATATTAGGGGGTAAAGAAAAGGGGGGCTTGATATTAGGCGACGGGATTGATTCCACCTATGCCTGTGTCACCATAATCTAGGGTTTAGATCTTCTTGGTAGCCCAGTAACCATGTTACAACATGGGTACCTTTTTTGCGGTTGGTTACTTATAAGAAAGAACCGTGAACCCAAAATAAGGCTCACCAGCATGTAGGGAGCTGGGCCATGGAGGATTTCAGGTTCTACTTCTAAGGGTCCCATGTACCTCATGCCTCATTTTTGTATACTCGGGCCCAACGCCCCCTTTTAGAGTATTCAATTCCCTGTTCAGGGGTTTCCGAAATTAGGGGGTACCTTTTTGGGGTCCCTATTATGAGGAAATCCAACAAGTTGGGGGGGTTTACATTAATTAGGGGTCCCTCGTTTTCGTAACCCTAAACCCTAAACCGTAAACCCTAAACCCTAAATCTAAACCCTAAACGAGGATTTCGGGTTCCAGCAGGCCTTCCGCATGTTCTCGCTGAGCTCGTCAGCTTCTAGCTGCTCTGCGATGGTGTCCACACAACGCCGGATGTCCTGCGAAAACTCCGGGTTTAGGGTTTAGGGCTAGGGTTTAGGGTTTAGGGTTTTTTGCCACCCGTCTAGCCATGCCCCGTGGGGTTTAGGGTTTAGGGTTTCGCGTTTCGGGTTGTTTTTGCCAGCCGCCCGGTTTCTCGCACACTGCGGGACTTCTTCACAGGGTCTCAATGAGTCAACTAGTTCAAATCTCCGTGTCGCGGGCTGGTGCCCTAGATCCAGGACCACCATCACCTGGCAGATCAAGCCCGGCTAGGTGGAACCCACAAAAACAGGGGCGTCCAGTCCGCAGAAATATCGACTAAGGCTGAGTTTAGGGCTTTGGGTTTCGCACGCGCACACGGCCCTTAAGGTTTAGGCTTCTTTTGCCACCCATGGTTTAGGGTTCAGGGTTTAGGGATCATGGGCTCCATACGTACCTAGTTTCACTTGGGAGGTCTGGGCCTGAACTGGGGGAACGCCTACCGTGGGCCACAAGAATTACTTGGAGCTTCGTTGGGGCTTCTAAGTGAGGTAGCTGATGCAGGACCCCTGTGTAAGATACTTCTCCCATCCCGAAAACACACCCTGAACCCTGAACCCTGAACCCTAAACCCTAACACGCGCATAGGCGTAGTATTATCCACCCTAGGCATCGGATGCTTTATGGGCATGGAGGTGCCTCGGGACTTACCGAACGCTCTCCAGGACTAAAGGGGAGACCCCCGTACAAGACTCCAAAACCTGAACCCTTGCGGTTTAGGGTTTAGGGCAAACCTCTTAGCTAAAACAGCCTTCCCAAGTTGTGTGGACCAGAGTCTTTATTTATTCCGGGATATGATCCACTTAACCCATGAAGGAAAGTATGGACATATTTTGAGGGCCTACCAGAGAAATTGGCCCCTACAGCACACAACCCGCCACTCGCTTCGTTAGAGCTTTCTCTCCACCCGACCCCCTCAACCCTCAACCGCTTCAATGTCTCAAGAGGCTACTTTATCTTCCTTGGACGGCTTCTTTCGCGGAATCCGGCTGATGCAGAGTATAATGGGTTTAGGGTTTAGTGTTTAGGGTTTAAGTAGCATCCGAAACCCTGAACACCCAGGTAGGGGAGCCCCCGATTGGCTGCAGGCCCTTGAGGCCTGTGGTGTCTTGCGGCGTGGCCAGACATGCTTTCAGGAAACCGGGTCGCAGCCTCAGCTCCTGAATTGAGTTTTTGAAGTCGAGCCAGAGAAGGATCGACCCAGATGGGCAATAGTAGGCGTCGCACTTGGGTTCAAGACCCCGGCGCCAAAGGGCATCACTTAGAAGCTGCGGGCTACAAAAGGCTGCAGCAGACCTCGCTCGAGGGTTTTCATGCCATTGCGCAGGAAGAAAAGACTGAGGAGGTCGCCGAGATTGAGATAACCCACGCCCGCACAAGCCCAAGCCCCAGAAACCCATCGACACCTGCGTCAGTAGGTACCCCTGAATCCTAAACCCTTTTCCCCAAATCCTAAACCCAAAAACCCAACCCTAAACCCTAAACCCTAGACCCTAAACCCACCACCGTCCTCCCAGAAGGTGAGCGCCAGCTTGAGGTCCTCAACCGGCTGTGCACAGCACTGGAAGCGCTTCGTCACATCGTGCTTGAAGTTGTCTCCTGCCAGGAGGTTTAGGGTTTAGGGTTTAGGGTTTAGGGTTCAGGGCTTAACGTGTTTTGGGGTTGGCATGATACCGGGGGCTTCAGTGCTCATGCCCTTAGTCCTTCTCCGTCTCGGGGCAAGATGCTTCACGTATGTAGCAGGCACGATCCGAATTTCTCGAACGGAATGAAGGCACAAAGGCGCCCTTACTCCGGAAACCACAAAAAGGGCCTTTAGAGAAGAGACCCGACACTCCAACCCGAGACCGTCTCTCCTTTGTAGTCCAGGAAGTACTTCACCACCTTAACGGAGGCGGTTGTGTAGGCACAAGGGGCCCAATGGGTCAGAGAGTTTGGGCGCAGTGGGCTTCAGGGCCCCAGGGTCCAGGGTCAACGCTCCGTTGGCCCATCGCCTGACCATGATGTTGCGGTTTTTGGCACGCGCAATGCTTGCTCCTTGCGATCGCAGACCCAGCAAAGCCTTCCCTCCCCACAGCAACAAAGCATTGGGGGGGTCTCCATGAACCCTTGTCCTTTTGAGCGAGGGCCGAAGTGCACAAAGCACCCTAACGCCTCAATCCTGAACAGCAACAGGACTCGACCTAGACAACCAGCCGAGCTTCGATGCCCATGCACGCGCGTGGAAGCATGAACGGTGGCAGCTCAGCCGGCGTGTTTGGATAATCCTCGAAGGTGTAGCTCAGTCGGGCCAGGTTTAGGGCTCAGCTTAATGACTTACCAGGTGTTCGTGCCCCTCAGGAGGAACTATGGTGTCAGTTGCTGTGAGCGCTTGGCGATCTCCTGTTTACTCGACCTGCCAGCCATTGACTTGCTTGTTTTTGCTGTGAACATGATCGAATATGACCGACGATGGGCACGTCGGAGCATGGCAAAATAGAACGTGTCTCATTCATACGCACATGCATACGTACATATGTGTATATACATATATGTGGGTACGTATGAAGAAGGTTGGTGCTTTCAGATGTGTGAATGCGCGCTTCCAGGAGTTTGGGGGGCGCAAGGGGATGCAGTGGGAACCGGAAGGCATGCCTGTGAAAATCGCAGGTCCGTCACTGCAACCATCAAACGCCAGAAGCCTCACGGGTATATTTAGGGTTTAGGGTTTAGGGTTTAGGGTTTACGGACTCTAAACCGGGAGCAGAAAGGCCAGTCCTTCTGCGGTGACGCGCACATGAAGCCCTTGGGCAAGAGTTTCACCTCCGCCATATGGGCCATAGGTGCTAGCATCGTATGGACCGTCATGGCAATAGCTAGTGGCTTGTGCTACGCAAGGCGACGCTGACTGAATCCTCGAGCTTACACACGCCTGGGCTGAAACAACCCTTTTGCAAACGGGCTGATCGGTTTGTAGCGCTTTTGCAACTTGTAGATAACATGCATAGACCGTGTAGGGCCTGAGGCAACAAAGTCCTTAAAACAAGGCGTTCGAAGTCACTACCTGGGCATGCACATGCCTGTTCCCTCTTCTGGGCTGCTACTGCTCTAGGCCAACGGTGACCCTTAACCTCCCAGGAGTTCTCAGGACCCTGAAGATGCAGAAGCTGTCGCCAATTGAAGCCGAGGGCCATGCCACATCGAAATACGACTACTGCCCGCGCCTTGCTCAGATCCTTGAGCAGGATGTTTGCAAGGGCTCCCTCCACGAGCTGCCTCTGCACAGGGTATTTTCTCTTGTTTCAAGCCTTTAGGGAATTTTTCTAAGGGTCATGTACCTGATTGTTTTGTACTTGGGCCCAAAAGTGCTTGTAGGAAGTATGTTAAGCTTAGGGATTGGGCTCAGCCGAAGCAGCGTTTCATGGGCTCAAGCGTCTCCGGGTTTAGGGGTAGAGATGATGAGGGGCACACTTGAACCCGGAGGCATGGCAAATCAAGAGCCCAAAGTCAGGATAAGGGCTGTAGAGTCTTGCAGTATGTAGTGCCGCAAAATTCACAAAAGCCTTGCTGAGGGATTCGCTGAGCACTTCTTGAGCTAGTCCGACCTAGCCCTTCGAAGGTTGCTGGATCCCAACATCAGCAGCTTAGGGGCCTATTGAAAAGTCGTTGCTGGGTGTTTTGGGCAGTTTTATACTACGCTTCTCTCGGGATTCCCAGTGGATACACTCGGTACATACTGAATGAGGCTGCCGCCTCAAGGCAGCTGCTAAGCAGGGAAGATACTGGTTTTTCAGTTGGCTCAGCAGAAGCCTGAAAGCCCAGCTTCATGAGATTCCACCCACCGACGGGTCGAACAGGGCACACGTTTGCCCCCTACTTGGGGGTTCATGGGTACCTATAACCCCAGTCATAACTGCACTTATGACCCTAAGTCCCCTAAGTAGGTTAGAAGTAGACTTCTAGTTGGAGTTGTAAGTACCCAGTAAGCCCCTAAAATCTCTTTTGCATCCACAAAAAACTACAACCCTTTTTTGCAGCGGGGCTTGCGTAGTCAGACGGGAATGAAAGTCGGGCTCTCAATGCACACAGCACAGGAACACGACCCAATCCGACAATGCCGGCGGCGAGAAACAACTTCAACTGTAAGGACTATGTGAAACTCTTCAATGAAGCAAACAGGGAATCAAGGGTGCAAGGGCCCCATACGTGTCGGCCTCAGGCCTTAGACCGCAAACCCTGAAACCCGGAAACCCTGAACCCTAAACCCCAAAACCCTACAGTAAACTCTAAACCCGAAACCCTGAACCCGGAAATACCCTGAACCCTAAACCCCTAAACTCTAAACCCAACCCAAAAAACCCTGAAACCCTAAAACAAGAGTAAAGCCTCTGGACCCCAGCCTGAGGGAGCGCTTCAAGATCCGTACAAGGGCATGAAAAGCTGCCAGGTCGAAGTCCACGTCCGAATCCTCGGACAGGCGCTCTCAAAGGGGAGGTCAATGTGTTGTTCAGTTCAGGGTTCAGGATTTTCGGGTTTTAGGGTTAAGGGTTTGGGGTTTGGAGGTTTCTGACCTCACACCTAAGTGGTTTGCAAAAAATGGGAGGAGAGAGCCATAGGGGGCCACCTCTGGGACTTTAGGGGGAACTGTTACGGCTTGAGGGTTCAGGGCTTTGAGCAGGTTCCGAAGCTTTCGATTTGGGGGTTTGGGTGGGGCTGCCGGGGGGCTTCATCGACGTTAAGTTCCGATTTGTAGGGTTTGGGGGTTTCTGCCTCGGCACCGCTGACTGCTCTCGCGACAAGGGGGGCAACCCCCGAAGATGTTGGGTGCTTGCGGCCTTTTGGTCTTAAGACCTCAGTTAACTTGAGACATCCGTGTCAGGGCTTTATGTGATTGAGGTTTAGGTCGACAAGGTTGTGGGGGCTTTGGGTTTCGGGATCCGCAAGCCCAGAGGAGGCTGCTTGATCTTAAGCTCCTCAAGCCTTCATCCCTCAGATCTTGCGAAGGGGTCTAGGGATAGGGTTTGGGGTTCTGGGTTTAGGGTCTAGGGTCTATAGGGGGTGGTCCAGGGTGTTAGGAGCTTGCCGGGGGAGTGGGGCACCGTGAGCGAGACAGATAAAGTACAACACGCGGCGTACTTCTCCATGCCTTCCGTAGGCGTCTTAGCCCTTGGGCAGCACAGGTATGCGCAATCATGCCAAAGGTCCCACATGACATTCTTCAGGCGCATGGGCACCAGTGACATCACCCGACAGAGGAGGAAGGTGCACGTGACCTGAGCAAGACGACACGCAAAGCCCTTCTAGTCGATTCTAGTCAGAACGGCCGGAATCAGAACGCCGTTCTGCAAGCTGGCCTAGCATATGCAGTATCATCCAAAACTTGCATTCGGGTATCAGTGGCTGCAGTTCTCTCCAGCATGTTGAGGCTTTTGCCACTGCCACGAGCAAGTATATATATATATATATATACGACAAACAGAACACATCGTGCTGCTTACGACTCAGCCGAACATTCCTTGAATCTAAGGCCAGAAACCCTAGACCCTCTTCGCCCGAAGCTCGAACATCCATTTATTTAGGTTTTCTGCTTTTAAGACAATTTTTGACAAAGGCCAAAAAAAGGGTTCTGGGATTTGAGGGCTTTAAGGTCCAATCCATGCAAGCGCCAGTCTCCGAGTCTCAGCAACCAGCAGAGACCCAGGGTTGCCCCCTGTTGCTTTGCAGGCGCGTGGCTCGATCGCGCTCGTCCGGCCCCAACTTGCTCAGCACCTTGGACAAAAGAGGGGCCTGAAAATCCTAGCAGGAGAGGGCGTCAACAAAAGAAACAAAAAACACTGGCAGAAGAGTGTGGTGAAAAAACCCTCGTATGTTGGAAATATAGCCTCAACAAGTGCCTGTGGCGCGAAGCCGCGAAGCTGCAAATCATCTCGGTTTTGGGGCTTAGGGCTTTCGGGCTCTGGGAGGTTTAGGGATTCAGGGCCTGGCGCTTCCTGAAACCTTGTCGCAAAGACCAGAGCAGAAGCCTTTGGAATCCCAGCCCTTGCCGAAACAAGTCCCCCCCCCCCCAAAAAAAAAAAAAAAAAAGGAAGCATGGTGTATCTAAATTCGAAGAGTCCCCAGATGTTGAACCGAAGCACTGGGTAGTGAACATCTGCCGGAAAGGGCTTCTCACCCTCCGGCGGGATTGGGGCTGGCACCTTTCAAGAACGTGGTTTGAGACATTGGCTCCAACCTCTCCGAACCCTAAAGCCCTAAACCTTGGGCTGTTCCCCCTTATGCTAATCGTCCTTAATAGGGATTATATTAGGGGGTACCGTAATCCCATTAAGGACTGTCAGTATAAAGGGAGAACATCCCAATCTAAACGCCAAACCCGAAACTCTACACCACTCCGAAGTCCTAAACTCCACAACGTCCCCGGGACCAATCCTCGCTCCTGAGCCCTACACCCTGGAACCCTAAACCCTAAACCCTAAACCACTTGGGGTGGGGGACGTCGGGCGCGGAGCACGTGACCAAACATGCGATACTCCTGGCGAAACTCCCTACTGTAAACCCTGAATCTGTTGGCCTTAGCCCCGGCTGTTCGCCCTACATCCCCCCTAACGCCCTAAAACCCTAAAACCCCAAAAACCCCTAAAACCCTAAAAACCCCAAAAACCCAAAAAACCCTAAACCCCTAAAACCCTAAAAACCCTAAAACCCTAAAAACCCTAAAAACCCTAAAAACCCTACAAACCCTACAAACCCTAAAAACCCTAAAAACCCTAAAAGCCCCAAACCCATGCCCAAAGAGGGAGAAGTTAACCAGCGCTTCAGCCTCGAAAGGATCGCCATTGAGCGTGCCGTACCTGGGCGGGGCGATGGAACAAAAACATCTCAGCGTTTTTTTGGGTTTGTAAGGGTTTTTAGGGTTTGTAAGGGTTTTTAAGGGCTTTTAAGGGTTTTTTAGGGTGCTTTAAGCTGAGCTTCAGGGTCCCAATCCCGCCTTGCTTTGTTGTAGCTGCTAAGAAACTTATACCCAGATACCGTCGCATGGCCATCTTCCCCAACTTCATTGAAAAATCCTTCGCATCAACCCAGAAAACCCTGGACCACCTAAACTCACAACCCTGGGCTTCGGAAGGTTAAGCGTTTAGGGGGTTTTGCTTTAGGGTAGGGGACCCTGCTCGCCGCGGCTGAGCGGCTTCATCAGCTCCAATGCTGTCAGGCATGGTTCCTTCGACTTGACGCAGGTCCCAAACCAGCATTTTGGGGGAGACTTTGGGGGGGGGGGGGGGGGGCTGAGGGGTGAGGGGTAACTCGTCGTATATCTTCGGGTTTAACTTGGGTTTTCAACGTTTTTGGTGGCATCTGGCCCAACAGAACGAGATGCGTGGTCCTCTGGCGGACCGAAGAATCTACAGACAATGACACAGCTGGACCTGCACGAAACCGAAGCCCCGAAGGCCTAAAGCCCTAAAAGCCCTAAACCCTGAACTTGGGATTTTCCCCCTTATACTGACAGTCCTTAATAGGGATGATAGTACCCCCTATTCGAGTCCCTATTAAGGACTGTTAGTATAGGGGGGAACATCCTCACCCTAAACCCTAAAGCCCTAAACAAAATGAACAGCCCCCTGAACTCGGAACTCGTGGAGACAAGGCTCTGTAAGGTTGGCGGGTGTGTCTTTCAGCACGTCGCCAAGAACTGTCGGTGCCCCTTCCTGCGCGGCGTTAAACCACAAATCAAAAACCAAATACATTTGTCTGTGTATATCATATTTGTGTATAGATTTAATTTACAATAATACCAGTATTATTCTTACATGTGTATATATATATATAAATTGGACCACCAAAAAACGCTGGATCCTGTCACACTTTCACCTAGGGGAGTTTTTTTGGGGTTTGGGTTTGGGTTTGGGGTGCTCTTCATCGGGGCTTCGGGGAGAACTCCATCCTCTGACTCGATCAGCTCGAGCTTTTCGAGGACTATGAAGTGCACGAGGGCGGTAAGACACCTCAAGCTGCAGGTCCCTCCGATGGGTTAGGGTTTAGGGTTTGGGGTTTGGGGTTTAGGGTTTAGGGTTTAGGGTTTAGGGTTTAGGGTTTAGGTGGGGCGCCCATTTCTGTCCAGTGTCCACAGCTTGCGGGCCGAGGCGGGAGACGGGAAACGAAGGCGATAGCCAGCATTGCTTAAACTCTAAGGGCCCTTAAACCCTAAACCCTAAACCCTAAACCGTTTAAACCCTAAACCCTAAACCCTAAACCCTAAACCCTAAACCCTAAACCCTAAACCCTAAACCCTAAACCCTAAACCCTAAACCCTAACCCTAAACCCTAAGCCGTATCCTCGGATCTCATCCAGCACCGCGCAACCAAAGCCAAAAGTCCAAAAGCCACTCCCAGATCCCAAGCTCCAGGGCATACAAGGTACCGAAGCTCCGCCTCGTAGTAAATAGGGCCCGGGTCCTGTTTGATTCAGGGCCACTAGACCCTTCTTAAGGGGATTTATAAGGGAACCCCAACCCTATAGAAAGTGAAGTGAGCATTTTTTTTTTTCATTGTGTGGGGTGTTGTAATGGCATGGGTATCCTACGCGGGCCTACGCGTCAGCTCATGTTTAGTAGGCGCGCGGCCTACGCGCGGAGTATGTTGTTGACGTGTGCCTACGCGGACCTACGCGGCAAGCATAGACAAGCTACGCGGACCTACGCGCCCATACTGCATAGACTTGCCTACGCGGACCCTACGCAAACCTACGCCCTGCAGGCAAAATGCTACGCGGCCGACTTTCAATGATCGCGTCTCTACGTAGCCTTGTTCGTAGAAAAAAAAAACGCTGCTCAAGTAAGGGCCTATTCCAGGTCCTAGGCTAGCATTTGGGGGTTTCTGGAAAGAATGGGGCTCAAAGGGGTGACCGTGGTTTCGGCGCCTGAGGGTTCCAGACAAACAAAACCTTCCTAAGCCCTAAGCCCTAGGCCCTAAGCCCTAAGCCCTAAGCCCTAAGCCCTAAGCCCTAAGCCCTAAGCCCTAAACCCTAAACCCTAAACCCTAACCCCCCCCCCCCCCGAACTCTCAACGAACTTCTGTTGCGGGAGACTTCGCGCCGAAGTTAGAGGACTGATACCACAACGCCAGACCTTTATAGCTACTTGGAGGTTCATGGGTACTTAGACCCCCAACTATAAGTAGAGTTAGAACCTACTTAGGGCCTTAGCAGTACAATTCTAATTGTGGTTAGAACTGCCTTGAATCTTCGATCTGGCCACATCTTATTTCATTCGGGGGGGGGGGGTTGGGGTGGGGTGGGATGGGGTGAGGTGCTTTCAATGAGTCCACTTGTGGATTCATTTTATCGTCGGATTCCTTCTCGTAAGGACGACCCCCCCTCCCAAATAGGAACCCACGACCGAACGCAAACATCGCACACAGATCCATGGCAAGCCACAACCCAAGTAGCAGCACATGTGCAACCTAAACCCTAAATCCTAAACCCTAAACCCCACATCCTGAACCCTAAACTGACTCAGCGCTCACGACCGGGATGCGACGAGCAAGACGGGCAAGCATGTTCAGCAATAGCCGGTCTATTTCCCGAGCACTTGGGTTTGGGAATTCGGCCCTGAAGCCCGGTTAAGACGCCTCACTGGTTCTTAGTACCCAAAACAGGGAAACTAGGGAACTCGGTAACTCATGGGGGCCCCTTATGGAGGCGCACCCTGAACACCTGTAGCCCTTTAGGGCTTTAGGCTCCTACTGAAGTCCGGAGGATTCGAAACCCTATAGGTGAAGCCGGGGTTTAGGGTCTAGGGTTTAGGGTCTAGGGTTTGGGGGCCCACGATTCCCTGAAGAGCCCGAGCCAGACTACAGGGTCCAGTACATCAAATTGAGTAAGCAAGTCTTCAAGTTGTGCGTACATGTCTGCGTATATGAAAGCCCCCTGTCTATACGCATACCTCTATCCAACGTGGATTTTTAGCAGATTGTCATCTTCTTAGACGGCCCCTGACCCACCTTCAGGCCCTGGATCAGGGGGCCATCGTTCTCGTACTCGTAAGCATGCCACTGCAGGCAGAACTTGAAGTCTACTTTGTCCACCTGGTCTTGGAGCGTAGGGTGTGCTGCAGGGTTTCGGGTGAGTTTTGTTGCCACCCGCCCTGCCGCGCAGTGTGGGTGAGGGGTTAGGGTTTCGGGGTTTAGGGTATGGGTTCGGAGAAGTTTTGGGGAAAGCTGAGTCATGCCGGGCGAGGAGTGTGCTTGCTTCGGGATCAGGAGTCCTACTGGGAGCAGGAGGAAAGGGTGTATACGGGGATTTTAGAGAGATCCACTCCTCCACTTCTCCTGTGAAGCGCGACGGTATGTTTAGCCGTAAGCTCAGAGTTTCTAAGGTTTCGAGGTGAAGATCGGAGAGGCTGGGGAGTTGGATGCTTCTTGCTGTAAGGAGCAGCAGAAGCCGCCAAAAGGCATATGCTGCGAACCTGCATAGGAACGTAATAAGCTTCAGAAAGATTGGTTGCGATGGCGCCAAGCCCGTTGACGAATCTTGAAGAAATCCCAGAAACCCCTCGCAGACTCTCAAGGTATAACACTATCCACGACCAGGGTGCCTTCTGCCTCTGCATTTCGGCCTGCACCGCCCACTTCGTTATCTTCCATCGAAGCCTGGCGCTAAACCCTAAACCCTAAACCCTAAACCCTAAACCCTAAACCCTAAACCCTAAACCCTAAACTCTAAACCCTAAACCCTAAACCCTAATTAATCCGAAACCCTAAACCCTCAACCCTAAACCCGGGTTGTGGAATGCTGTTTGCCAGTTTGCCACCTGCCTTGCAGCCTCACCCTGGCGCTGCAGGCATGCAACATTTGTTGATTCGCCTTGAAACAACTCTATAAGAATCATAATCATCATAATCATAATAAGAATAAATATAATTAAAATATTAATAAGAATAAGATTAATAGTTATAATAATAATCATAACAACCAATCAACGCATAACTTCCGGACTCCAAGCCTAGCATTTTGCCACCTACCTAGCTGACCTGCGGATGCACTGCAGGGCACCGACAGGGAAAAACGCAGGGTTTAGGGTTTAGGGGCCAGCAGAGAAAAATGACCTTGCATGGCAAGTTGGGTCTAAGTGCTGGCTAGTTCCCGAAGTGCAGAAGAGCAGAAACGTTAATTCCATCTAGGTTGTGCAAGTATTGCGATCAAGCAACTAGTTCTAGTGCTCCGAATCCTTACCAACTCCCCAGCCATGAGTCCGAAACCCCAATCCCCAAGTCGATTCTCTTACATCATAGAGCCTCATACTCCAAACAATCTTTCAGTAGGTTTAGGGTTTTTTAACACTTAATCACTTGCCGCCAAAGGAGCCCGTCTTTAATCTCAGGCTCGAGGATGCGCGCGTCGTTGGGGATCTTGTTGGCGTCCCCTGGCACCGCGCATCAAGACACCCTGGTTCAGGGTCTAACTGGGCTTTTGTTCGGGCTGAAGCCGTCCATCTAGACATAGACTCGTAGATTAGCCAAGCTAAACCCGCTTTAAACGTTGGAGACAGGTTGGAGAAAAAAACGCAAACACCCCGATAAGCACATCCGAAACCCTACTGCCAACTTTGGCAACTTTGGCCTTAGATCAGGGCCTACATCAGCAACCTACAGCGCTGAGGGCGGTAGGTCGGAGATGAAACGGGATTCGTGAGCTCTGGCAGCCGGAGAGTGGCTCCCTCTGAGTGATTCAGTAGATTGCCCTGGCCCGGGGCTCAGTGCACAGAAAACACGTCAACGCCCTGCAGCGCCGAAAGCCCCCTTGTCCTAAGGATTAGATGAGTAACTCCTTATTAAGGGTAATATAGGGTTTACTTTTTTTCTTCTATTCTTTTGGGGTTCTTGATTCTTAAGCAAATTGTAGGTAAATCCCACTCGTAGTCGCCCAGTCGCCCCGTCTCACTTGGCAGTGCAACTGCGCAAACGAACTTGTTCAACCGGGGGCCTTTTGGCTTGCCAAGGCCTTGAAGTTCCCCCCGGCCCCTACAAAGCCTCCTAAGCCAAAACCTGCACCAAAAAACACACACACACACACACACACACACACCCACACACCCACCCACCCACCCACCGTCCCGCCCACTTGCCCACGCCCGCCCACGCCCGCCCGCGCCTGAGCACACGCCCGCCCGCCCGCACCCGAGCACACGCGCGCGCAAGCGTGCACTCACACACACACGAACACGCGCATAGAAAGTGAGGTACCTCACCGCAGACTTCGAAAGGCTCGCCCTGATGCCTGAGATGGCGGTGCGGATGACGTTCGACTCCCAGAAGGCCTGGCTTGCACTGACAGCTCAGGGAAGAGGAAGGGTCCCCCGAAATTCGGAATTCTTCAGGGCTTTAGACTGAAGGGCTTCTCCTCAGGGCTTATAGGCTTTGTATAGGGCCGGGTTTCAGGTGTTTTTGAGTTTCAGGGCCAAGAGAGCTTCCGAGTTCCAATGTTATCCGTGCGCTACGTGCGTGGGCGTGAAGGCGCAGGCTGCAGCTTGGACCTGCGACCTGCAACCACCCCCCCCCCTCCCTCCCCCAACCCCAAAATTGCAAGCAGGTTAGAGCCCGACCCCCCCGCCCCTCCATCCACAATCTGCAGAAGATCATCCCGTTATTAAAACAATCTAGGTACTTTGGCGATTTCGGGAAGAGACCAGTGCGTTTTTTTTTGAAGCTTCGGGCTTCCATTCGGCTGCGCAAGGGCGCACGGTTGCCCCCGGGATTGGGAGGGAGGGGCAGGGGGCGGAAGCTGAGCGAGCCAATTAAGCCCCTGAACATCTCGCACTCCAGCATCTGCATGAGTAAGCCCTAAACCCTAAACCCTAAACCCTAAACCCTAAACCCTAAACTCTAAACCCTTAACCCTACAAACGCCCGGAGCCCAGAGGCCAGAGCCCGCCCAAAAAACGCTACTTATTAGCTGCTGCAGCAGCCGGAAAAAAGCTCGAGCTTGGAAGTCTGAGCTGGGTTTTCGGGTTTCGGCTAGTTGGAATGCCAAAAGCCCTGCCTTGCAAAGAATCTTCTTGTGCTGAAAGCTTCGGTGAAGGTGCTGGGCCACCAATCCTGGGAACACCGGCACGGCAAGTGCACAAAGATCTGATGTGCTTGCAAACACTGTGAACATGGGGCCGCGGCGGCGACAGTAGCAAGACTCGCTGCCCGGACGCTAGCATGCCGTCGTCCCACTATTCTCTGTACCCAGCAAGCCCCATTAAACCCTAAACCCTAAACCCTAAACCCTAAAGCGTACCCTTCCGGCGCGATGGACCGTACTTCAGAATAAGGAGCCTGTCCAGCTCAAAGTAGGAAATCGTGAATTCATGGGTATGGTGCTTCCTACACCTCATGCCACGAGTTCCCGTTCTGTGGGATGTTTGCTAGTTTTCGGAGGGTTTCTTAGCCAGGCGACCTCTAAAACAAGCTCGAAGCAATCCCCGGTAAGTCTTACCGGGGGACCGGGGGCTTCTCTAAACGCACGTCAGTTTAGGGAGAATGGTTCCGGCTTTACACGGGTTAGGGTACTTGCTTGACTTATACAGGGTTTAGACGCAATCTCTTTGAAACCGTCCCACATTGCTAGTTTTGCACCGTCTTACTACGGTCCAGCTCAGCAAGCCAAGCCCCTTGGGAAGCGGAAGGAAAGACCAACCTGTTGAAAGCCCTAAACCCTAAACTCTAAACCCTAAGCCCTAAACCCTACTCCCTGAGAGTTTACACACCGGGACTCCGAGGGCCACCCGTCGATAATCCTGCAGATCGTTGAGGAGTGACCGAAACTCGTTCGTGTCAACCTCGGATCAGTTCAGGCGGCGAGCTAAGTGGAACCGTCTTGCCATGTTCCAGGGGAGGAGGAGCCTTTGGGGAAGCAAGAGAAAGGTTCAGAGTTTAGGGTTTAGGGTTTAGGGCTTAGGGTTTAGGGTTTTCGGGTTTAGGGTAATGTGCGCATTGTACGAAGGACGAGCGACCCTTCAAAAAGTAAACTCCTCGCAAACGTGCCGAGTAGCCAGCGGCTGTGACTTGTCTGTCCATTCGCCCTCGGGAAGAATTCGCTTCTTTCTCTCAAGAGAATACTGTGCTCATATGGCAGCAGTGTGAAACTGACCCTGAGAACCGCAAGAGTACCGACATGAGTAGATGCCTTCAGCGTTAGCTCTGGGTACCATGATGGCAGGTTTGGCTGTGCTGGGTGCCTTCTTCCGGCGCAATGCAGGCAATTCTGCAACAGAACCGTTACCAGGAACCCTTATGCTCGGGTCTTGGGTCCCGAGCCCCACACGAAATCACACCAACGTATGTACTTCTTTCAACTCACACCATCCACCCACAACCCTAAAGCCCTTAAACTCCCTGTGTCTGAATGCACAGCCTTGGCAAGGGCCTGGGGCAGCTTGTGTGATATAATGCCTGGGCTTGAGGGGGGGGGGGGGAAGATTTGCGTGCGGCCCATTGAGGGTGTGGCGCTTAGGCCTTTCAGCAGCGTGTGGGGGTTCAGTGCTTGCGTGGGGTTAAAGTGAGTGTTTAGGGGCTTTTGGGGTTCCGAGGCCCAGGGGTTTAGGTCGTGGTGCACAGTTTAAGGCTTCGGCTGATGAAGCAAAGTTCCTTCCACCTAGCATAGAGGTCGAAGAACGCTAGATTAGTCCGCGGACCCGGTCGACCAGGCAGAGACGAAAGCATGCGACCGTAATGTAAGCCCTGCTAAGCAAGGTAGCACAACATACCATCTCGATATTGACATCGGAACTGCGAGCCTTCCAACGAAAGTCTGTTCAGCAAGCCCGGCGTTCTCCAGTTGAGTTTGCACACAAGGAAATGTGGCCTGTACCGGCTGACGATGTGTACCTGTGTCTGCGAAGTTGCCCTGCAACTCTAACTCCCCCAAATCCTCCTTTTTTCCCTTCCGAAGCCACTTCAAAATCCACTCCAGATGCCCCGAACCTCCCAAAGACTCTAGACCTTACATCCTTGAAGCCCCTAAGCCCGACACCCTCAAGCCCTTAACACCCTAAACTTGGGATGCTCCCCCTCATACTAACAGTCCAAAAGAGGGGTTGTAGTACCCCCCCCCTCATCATAATCCCTCTTAAGGACTGTTCGTATAAGGGGGAACATCCCAACCCTAAACCCTAAACCCTAAACCCTAAACCCTAAACCCTAAACCCTAAACCCTAAACCCCTAAACCCGAAACCCGAAACCCCTAAGCCCCTAAACCCTAAAGCCTCAACAGCTCAAGGCCCAAGGTCCATGGAGCATGAGGTAGTAGAGGGCAGGAGGAAGCCTTGGTCGAAGAGAGGAAGAGATGGCAAAGCAAAGCTTCATGACATGCATCGTGTGTCGCTATTTTTTTTGGGGGTGGGTGGGTTTGGGGGGGGCTTTCTGTGCCTTAACCCGTAGTGTTCTGTTCCATACTTCTAACGAATTACCTGAACTGTGAAGAAGTGGATTTAAGACTTGCAAGGGTGTACGCTTCAAGAACAAGAGGAATCCCAAGCAAGGGGCCTGCTAAGAGTTGCTTGCTTAGGCTTAGATGGGGCCCAGTGCATGAGAAACAGGCGTGAGTTGAGGCGATCTCATAAAAATTAGCGGTTGCTGCCATCATTGCTCAGCCTTTTCTTCAGAAGAATTCACAGGGCAGCATCTGCTACGGTCTGGAAGACTTAAGGCAGCCCTCCCACCAACTCATGACTTGGGTTGAGGGGTTCGAGCTTAAGTTGTTGGATTCCAGGCAGCTTCTGACCCATGATCGCTGCGAAATCGCTGGGCACTTGAGGAGGTGCGTCCTCAGCCAGCCGCCGGGACAGGACAACTAAAGCCATCGTTGGTCCATCATGCCATTTTTGGGCCCAGGTTGCATGAAAGGCTTCAGCCGTGCACATTTTTTCTTGTGCGATGCCACGTTCACGGACAAAGGCCCGGCATGCAAGCAATGGAGCCACACTGTCGCTCTGCCTCACTCTCTTCCTGTTCCTGTTCTTCAAGGTTTTGCCGGCCACATGGAGACCTTTCTAACCACGTTGCAGTGCTTGACGACGTGAGCTTTCCACTCTGCATCATACCAAGTTGTATAGTAGCAACAATGCCCATTGTAGTACTGATAACAGGAACTTTAAGCTCACAGTTGAGGTTGGAGACCTCTATGCCTCAGCAAAGAACACCCCGTGCCCTAAACTAACGCAGGTTCTCAAAGAAAGCCACCCCCCCCCCCCCCCCCCCCCCCCCAGCATCGAGACCAACCATGCAGCACTGAAGCTCCTGCACACTCTGCGCATTTCACACGAACCCGAACGTAAGACCGGACTGATGCCATCCAAGCCTCTCCCGCCTTGCAAGCACCGAGCGGTCGGATGGCATAGTCCTTGCTGCCACCCCCCGCCACCCAATGTCGAGGTTCAGCTTTGCCGGGTTGAGGTTTCGTTTTGAGGGGCTGACAGGTCAGGGGCTTGATCGGCTTGTGACAATGCTGCAAGCAATGCTTTACCCTGTAACTCTTGACTTAAGGTCACAAGCTGAGCAGCTGGCCACTTGACTACAGACTCGAGACCATCTTGGAACTAGTCTTGCACTAGGTGTAGGGTTTAGGGTTTAGGGTTTAGGGTTTAGGGTTTAGGGTTTAGGGTTTAGGGTGTAACCATTCCAATGAGTACGGAAGCAGCAGCTAAGGCCCAGCCTGACCTCTCCCTCTCACTTTGCGAATTGTGTTGCTTCAGTTCTTTCGTGGGGCAAGGCAGCAGGTCTGCCCATGCTTGAGGGGTTGAGGGTTTAGGATTCAGGGTTCAGGGTTTAGGGTTTAGGGGTTTAGGGCCCCCACCCGAACTGCTCTCGTTTAGGGTTTAGGGTTTAGGGGTTTAGGGTTTAGGATTCAGGGTTTAGGGTTTTTAAGTCGGCGAATCCCCCACTCGGTGTACCGCTGACTGGTGACCCCTCTCGGGTCCAGGGTAAAGCATCCGCTTACGCGAGAGAAACGTGCGGCAACATGCAACCCTTTCTGGGTTTTTGGCACCCGCATAGCCTAAGGGTTTAGGGTTGAGGGTGTGGCTACAGGAGCGTCTCTATCCGAGTTTGGTCGGCTAGGTCGGCTGCCCCGCCCGCTCATTGGCTCACGCTGGTTTTGGCCTTCCCCTCTCTCTCCCCTCGCATACCCTCCAGTTTCGATCCCTCCAATCTCCTGCAGGTGCAAAACCGGGGAATTCTGGACCAGCACCTGTCCCAGAGCACGCGGTCTGATAATGCGCCGCGTTATTTTGGGGGATCGCGCTGGGCATTGGGGAGCTGCTTAGAGCCTCGTGGCAAGTAGAACAAACCCTAGACCCTAAACCCTAAACCCTAAATCCTAAGCCCTTTGGAATCGATTCTTCGGCAGGGCCGCTTCAGAAGGCAAGTCGGGAGATCCCACTTCTAAGCTGACAGAGATCCCACAACCCTCGCCCCTGATATGGGCTTAGGGTTTAGGGTTTAGGGTTTAGGTTTTAGGTTTTAGGTTTTAGGTTTAGGGCTTAGGGAGCTTCCGGCAGAGAGCAGAAGGATGAGAGCTTGGGGAACTGAAAGCCAACTGGAGACCGGGGCCCAACAGGTTTGAGACATTCAGAAGCCCTTTTTCGCAACTGGGACTTGGACATTATGAAGCCCTAAACCCTAAACCCTAAGCACTAAACCCTAAGCCCGAAGCCCTCAACCCGAAACCCTAAACGCTAAATTTAAACCCTAAACCCCACACCCGGCTCTGCTCTGGGGAGTGAGATGCATTCGTATTTAGGGTTTCGGTTTCGGGGTTTCGGCTCTCACACTCGCACAAGGCAGGCAAGGATTCGGACCGAAGGCCTGTCATCTGAGAAGTGGCAGGATTCCCACGCTTCGGGGATTAAGGACCCTAAACCCTAAACCCTAAACCCTAACTAAACCCTAAACCCTAAACCCTAAACCCTAAACCCTAAACCCTAAACCCTAAACCCTTGGGTTTCTAAGCCTAAGCGGTGGTGAACCGCAAATGCGCCCCAGCAGCCACCACACTCAGTGCCGATGCTGGGAGAGGGGGGAATTTCAGACCAAGCAGGTGTGCAAACGGGCACCTGACATCTTGCCCGCAACTCAAAAGGCAACCTGCCCTATACCCTATAACCCTAGAACCCTATACCCCCAAAACCCTGTAACCCTAAACCCTAAACCCCTATAATGATGGGCTCACTAGTTCTTGATCAGGCAAGCTGAGGTCATGGGCCCAATAGACGACGGAAGCACCTAAGCCCCAGAAGCTGTGAGCCTGTGTCACCATGTGTAGCTTCAAGCACTAAACCCTAAACCCTAATTAAACCCTAAACTAAGGCAGCCCTAAACCCTAAACCCTAGATCAAGCCCTAACGCCGTGGGTCCGCTAACAAAATTGCGACGCTCCCCCCCCCCCCCTCCCGAACTCAATGCGCCCTGAATCGTAAACCCTTCTTCCCCCTAAGCCCTAACCCTAGCCTTAGACTGTCCATTCCTGGAAGACAAAAGCTTCGACTTGTACAGGGGGTGATGTTTGAGGTATCACTGCTCGGTTCGTACGGGTAAGACCCCCTGCTGAGCATGGCCAGCTTTGCACTCAATACCAGTGCCCGCCTCTCTCCCTCCCTCCCTCCCTCCCTCCCTCCCTCCCGCCCCCTCTCCCCCCGGCTGCCTTGCAAATGCAATATCCATCCACGTGGTCGTTTTTCATGTCCTGTCGAGGTCTCAGTCGCTGGTTCGTTCATTCGGCGACGATGTGGCGGGGTTCTGACTGTTGCGACCTATGTTGCATGCAAGCTGGTGGCGGACCAAGATCTAAGGCTGCAGAGCCCAACTTGCAAGCCAAGTGTGTCAACTAGAAGCAGATATAAATACACTGCGGTTCATGAATCCTTATACGACTCCCGTGTATGACAATGCGATGCGACCATCCCAACGTGTGAACTGTGGCACAGATTCCGCTTTCCTGACCCTAAGTACGACCTGTGCCCGAGAGTAAAGTCTTAGGTCTTCAGGACCCTTCCTTCGCACTCCTCAATCCAGGAGGAATCTCAAACCCTACACCACAAGCCAAGGGAGGCTTACAGCCTCCTCCGAGGTCAGCTTTGTTTACGGTGGGCTCCGTGAGAACTACTGGGAGGTTCAGGGCACTCAAAACCCCAATAAGACCCGCACGTGTAAGCCCCCTAAGTCCCCTAAGTAGGTGATAACCGTACTTATAGTTGAGGTTATAAGTACCCTTGAACCTCTAAGTAGTCCAAACCCACGTGGCGAAGGGCTCTAAAAGCCTAAACTACGAATTGCTTAACTTAAGAGCCCCCCCCCACTCAGAAGGGTGATATAGGGATTGTTTTTTTATTTTTGGGAGGTTCTTCAGCAAAGAGCCGTAAACACCAAAACCCTGCAGAGCTCCTCAGAGGGAAAGTGGCCCATCCAATCAATCAGGGGGCCCCTGGGATGCACGGAATCTGCTTAGGGTTTGGGACTTAGGTTTAGGGTTTAGGGTTTAGGGTTTAGGGTTTCGGGTTTAGGGTTCCTGGAACTACTCGCCAGGGTTTAGGGTTGAGTATTCTGCAAAGCATTTCTACTCTGTGATGGCTACAGGCTGTTGGGCGCTTCGGGGCTTGTTTTCCATTAAGGGTTTCTTACTGAAGGTAACCGGAACTCTTGCAGTACTTACGCAGTAACACCGAATATTTCAGGCTTCAGGGCCTGGACGTCTAGGACACAAATTTGGGCTTGGCTTGGTTTCGACTGTGGAAGAGGCCGGTGGCTCTAAGATTAGGATTTAGTTTTAGGGTTTCAGGGTTTAAGGGTGTTAGGGCTTAGGGTTTAAGGGTTTTAGGGTTTAAGGGTTTAACGGTTTTGGGGTCTCGGTTTCACAGTTGAAGCGATGTGGTGCATAGATCCTTTGAGTGTCCGGAGTTCGGTGTCTTACGGACGGGCCCGAAGCCTAAGCCTCAACCCCTTGTATGTCCTTGACCTCGAAACGCTCGCAAAGTTCTGCTCAGGTTCGGATGTGCTTTAGATTGAAGAGGGTTTTGGGGGATTAGGGGCACGAGGGTTTAGGCTTTCGGCTTTAGGGTTTCGGGTTTAAGGTTTACGATGTGGGTGGAGATATAGGGCTTTGGGTACCGTGCGGATTTCTTCTACAACTCCCGAGTTCTTACGGCGAAGCCTCCTTATGTTGTGAACACAAACCTACTCTTTGCCCGGTAACCCCCCAACAAACATATAACAAATAAGAAATAATGATCCCTGTATTATATATTGCCCTTATAAGGAATAATCAATATTCATGATTCTTCTTGTTGTTTTGTTGGGGATTCTTAAGCAAATGGTAGAAACCTTCATGACACCTTTGTGACACTTCGCGCACCTCTGCGAATTCCGCATCAACCCCACAGTGGCCCAAGGCACTGCTTGATGATGTACACGGCCGCCTCGAAATTAAAACGCGCTTGCTGCTGCTGAGTCTGCACCGGCCTCATCCGTGACACGAGTTCGGGGGACACGGGCTTAGAGTTTCGGGCTTAGGGCTTAAAACCCAAAATGTCCCCACAAAATGCCCCGGGGCTCAAACTTTCTTGTCGGGAAAGGACCGTGAAGTGGATCGTGCTACTCTCCAATCCAAGCGCATGTTTAGGCTCTAGGGTTCAAGCCCCAGTTCCCAGTTCCCAGTTCACTGCACCCTCTCAGCCCATCATCAACCCCCAAGCCCTTGGCGCTTAGTTTGGGGATCAGTTTGGGCAGAGATGAAGCTGTCTTAAGCCCCGATTCCTAATCTTTAAGAGGTTTAGGGGTTAGGGTTTAGGGTTTAGGGTTTAAGGTTTAGGGTTTAGGGTTTAGGGGTTTAGGGTTTAGGGTTTAGGATTCTGGGCAGCTGAGGTTTTGGGCGCAGGAAGAACTACAGGTATAGGCCACCTAGGCGCCCAAAGCCTGTCTCAACGCAGCCGGCGCTCCTCACATGCCGGCCAGACCCTAAACCCTAAACCCTAAACCCTAAACCCTAAACCACCCTAAACCCTAATCCCTAAACCCTAAACCCCGAAGGTCAAGGCTTGTTGGGTGCAGAACTGCAAACCTTGGGCAATGCTTCTGGGATTTCGGGGGCTTGTTAAGGCTGACTTTCACCACCCACTTAGTGCCAGGATTTTTGGGGCGCTGTTTCGGCCGAAGAGCTGCACGGGCGCTGGGCTCAAGTTCAAGTACGGGTAGGTCAGGCAGTACCTTCGATCGGTTTAGGGTTTAGGGTTTAGGGTTTAGGGTTTAGGGTTTAGGGTTTAGGGTTCGGGTTTAGGGTTTAGGGTTTAGGGTTTAGGGTTTAGGGTTTAGGGTTTAGGGTTTAGGGTTTAGGGTTTAGGGTTTAGGGTTTAGGGTTTAGGGTTTAGGGTTTAGGGTTTAGGGTTTAGGGTTTAGGGTTTAGGGTTAGGTTTAGGGTTTAGGGTTTAGGGTTTAGGGTTTAGGGTTTAGGGTTTAGGGTTTAGGGTTTAGGGTTTAGGGTTTAGGGTTTAGGGTTTAGGGTTTAGGGTTTAGGGTTTAGGGAGCATGTCGCCAGCACTCCGGGCCTTCGGAGGTCGCTGCAATCAAACCAAGTATCAGGCAGAGTAGCTGCTGTTAAGACTCGCGAATGAAGTCTAGGACCCCGAGCCAAGGTTTAGGAGTTTAGGGTTTAGGGTTTAGGGTTTAGGGTGCCAAAGTGCACCCTTTGTAACCCTGGCTTTGCAAGACTGCTTTGGTTCAAAAGTTGAAAGTTTCAGTGAGGAAGAGTCCAGGCAAGTGTTGTGAGGCTTCTTTTCTGACGGAGAACTTCGATCACCCTCAACCAGACGATCGATGTTCTGGTGCCGAGTGAAAAACATCCAAACAGTAGACCAATGTCCAACCCTAAACCCTAAACCCTAAACCCTAAACCCTAAACCCTAAACCCTAAACCCTAACTGCAGAACTTCTAGAGGGTCCCGAACCAGGTTTCGGTCTTGGGGAACATGGCCCTTGCCCCCGAAGGATCGCATCCTCAAGCGGAGGACGAATTCATGCTAGAGAGGGGGAGGGACAAGACCCTGACGATGGCTTCAGGAAGCTCAGCTGCTAGCTTGCTTGCATGGGAATTCTTCACGATTAGACTCCAAAGGCTCCTTTTTGAGAGACAAGATGCCTGGGAACCCTAATGTCGAAAACAGGAACCATGTGGCAAACTTCCATGTACCTTTCAACCTCAAGCAGCAAGTGCTTTTTGCAGCGTACAAGTACCTTGCGACCCTAAGTTGGGTCAGTTGTACTGTGCCTGAGGGTATACCCGGACCCAAAACCCCTAGTCCTGAGGTAGCCCGAAGAATGCAACTCCATCAAACAGCGTCTGGGCTGCTCTGTCCCGGCGAGCATGCAGGCCTCCACAAATGAGTCCCATGTCCTCAGCTGCTCTCCCTGAAGCCCTTTTCACCAGGTCCCCTAAACCCTAAACCCCAAACTCTAAACCCGAAATCTTGAATCCGAAATTACATAGCCATGCAGCGCGGCCCTGATCTGCGAACTCTGGGCCCACCCCAAGAACTCCCGCAACCCAATAAACCCCATGCCTCAAAATCCAGATCCTAAGGCGGATGCTGCCGTTTGCTATTTGTGTAAGTATAGACATAGACACAATGATTAACAATGCGCAAACAACAAGATCTCAACAAACAAAACCAGGATTCAGTAAACAATTAAATGAATAAAGAAGTTAATTAATTCACATTTTTATATATAACAAAAATACAAAATAAGTAAATAAATACATAGAATAAAAGAAACTAAATACAACATAAACAATCAAATACAAACAATAAAATACATGAATAAGTACATCAATATGTATATACATATATACATTGCATATATACATATATACATATATATATGTACATATGTGCACCGGGCTTATATATATATACATATTATATGTGCACCGGGGCTTTTCTAGGGCTTTGAGGATGGAAAGTCAACCTCAATCGCAGGGCCCCCTCTCCACCAAAAGGCAGGTCCCATTTCTTGAGGACGCTGTCCAGGTCGACCCAGTCGAAGGTGTTCTGGCAAGGTCATGGCTCCATCCGCTAGACCCTAAATAGGGGTTTAGGGTATAGGGTTTAGGGTTTAAGGTAAACCCTCAAGACCCGATAAATCTGAACTTACAACGTTGTTTGTCGGAACAAGCTGGCACCACACCAAAACCCCATCCCCAAGCACAATTCCAAAAACCATCTAAGTAAGTTGATCCAAAACGCCCCTGGCTGCAAAACGGGTGGAAACAAACAACAGTGACATAGAACAGCTAAAACGCCTGCAACGAGCGTGCATGCACCGCCTGCTTTGGGGCAGGGCAAGAACGTGCACGGTGTCTGGTCGGACTGAAGTTGCGTAAAGTCCCGCCCCGAATTGTGACCCTCTCCCATGAGTGCTACTGTGTGTTCTACACAGGCTCCCTGCCACTGATTTGGTGGTGAGGGGGTTAGACTTCCCGCAGCCACCCAAGTCAACGAATCAGACCCAGGGACCCACGAGGGGGGAAGGAAAGAAAAGCGAGTTCTTAGTGGGTTGTACACGGAGCACGCGCAGGTTAGGCTACATACCCCAAAGGAAACGTTAACTGCGAGATACAGACTCCCCTCATTTCTCTCCCAATTTGATGTAGTTGAGGTCGCCGACCAGGTTGGTCACTCCCAGGGCACAGCACCAGTCGGCTTTTGTTTCCAATTTTTACACACGGCTCCGGGTGGACGGCATTGTTGCCACCCCAATGGGCCCTTGTGGTCTCCGATGGCCCCTCGCTGGTTCCACCATCTGGGTTCTTCCCGGTCTTTCCACTCTGAGTGGTGGTATGGCTTTGGTTCTCCCATGTTTCGTTGGGTCGTTGGTTGCCGTTGCTCCACTTTCTCAGGTGGTGGGGTCTCACTCTCTCTCTCTCTCCCCTCCCCTCTCTCTCTCTCTCTGTCTCTCTCTCTCTCTATCAGGCGTGCCCTAACCCTAAACCCTAAACTCCAAACCCTAAACCCCAAACCCCTTTAAAACAAAGCCTTGTAGAAGACAGGCGCCTGGCCAAAGTTCAAATGGATGATCACCGTCTTGACTCCATAAAGGAGCAGCCCTGGTGGACTGAGGGAGGGTTTAGGGTTTAGGGGGTTTAGGGGGTTTAGGGGGTTTAGGGGGTTTAGGGTTTAACGGTTCAGGGTTTAGGAGGTTATAACTCCCTAAGTGTAAGGTATCACCAGCCCGAATAGTAAGTAAACGGTAGGGGTTTTAGGAGGGCTTAAAAGGTTTGGGGACATTGGTTGTTGGGTGGTTTGGGGGAGCTTACTTGTCTAGGGGATTCGGAAGTTTGCAGGTCATAAGAGCTGCAGGGTCGGTAGCTCTCGAAACTTGGCTGCACTCAGGTGGGTAGCTTTAAATTGAACTTTTAGCTGCCTTAATAAGAAACCCAATAAACCCAAAAAAGGTAAGGATCTAAAGTTACGGCAAAGTACCACAAAGGGAGAAGAAATCCAGCGTCAGAAGCTTGCTGAAACTGGACTAGTACTCGCATTCCAATGACATAAGTTCTTGCACCACCCCCGGCCACGCTCATGCGCCGTGTCACTCGCCAAAACAATCCTCCCGCTCCCTGTCGCCCCCCAAAACAACCAACATCCTCAATTTGTTCTTGAAGCCCTGAGAAATAAGCACACACACATATACACACATATATATATATATGTATGTATACTCTAAAGCCTTCATTTTGCACTTGTCATCCCTCAATGCCATTCCTGGGGGACCGAAAATCGTCTGCACGAGGCCCTCTGCCGCGAAATGCGCAAGCCTCAGCCGTGGCTTAGGGCTGACTAGCGGAGCCTCAATAACTAAAACAGGGTCTTTGGGGGTGAGCATAGTTTAATGATTAAAGGGACCATAAGGGAATACCTATCAGTAACTATTCGACCTGGGGACTGTGGAGTGCAGTGTCTTGGGTGAATTTCGGACCTCTGCCCAAGCTGCAGCTGCCAACAATACTGCTACTTCAGAGCGATGGAAACAGGGCTTACGGCCGTTTAGGGTTGAGGTCCTGGGGGATCGCCTTAGGATCCTATCAGCCTAGCTAGCAAACAGCTATCTACAGAAAGCCAAAGCCCCGAAGCCCACGACCCACAGCCCTAACTCAGGAAGAGAAGCTGGGCGCCGGCAAAGTACGGGGCCTGGAAGCATTCGTAGCCCTTTTGCCTGCGGGACGGGTAGGGCTCCCCCCCCACACACACAGTAATGGTTTTGGGGTTTAGGGTTTGGGACCGGCTCCTTTTACAGTCATGGTCTTTAGGAGACTATTCCTTTTTTGGGGCCGATTTAGGGTTTAGGGTTTAGGGTTTAGGGCCTAACCTCAGGGACGGGCTTCCGTTTGGACGTATCAACATTGAAGGTGCTGGGGTTCGACAAGGGTTGAACATCTAGGCAGGGTTCAATTAAGTCAATCAGGGTTCAGGGCCTTTGGGGTGGTTCGCTGGTTTAGGGATTGCGATGGCTCGACCTTCATCAGAGGTCAGGACCGGAAACGAAACTTGCTATCTCCTGACTAATCCTGGCTCAGGGACATAGTACATCTTCCGCAGCCTACCTTTAAATCCAAACCTTTTGTTGCATGTAACGACCTAAGAACCGTGCAAGGCAATTCAAAGAACACCTACATTGGACCTACCATAGAAGAAATCGTGGGTTTGTCATGAAATAGGGGGCTCACCTCCCTTTGTTAACCCCAAAGTTTTCCTCTAAAGCCCCAAAAACCCTAAAGCCCCAAAACCCTCAACCTATAACCATGACCCCAAGAAAACCTCAGGAATCCCGAAGTTTTAGAGGGTCGGTTCAGCCCTAAAGCCCTAAAAAATCCCTAAAGCCCCAAACCCTCAACCTTTTACCAGAGCCCCAAAAAAACCTCAGGAGTTCAGCCAGGCGGCCGAAGGTGGTGAAAAATGAAATACACGAAGTCGCCATTGATGCGACTTGTGGAGACGGCAAAGCACTTCCTTGAGGGCTGAGTGATTCTGAGCTCAAAGCATTGAGGGTCGCGGTTTACGGTTTAGGGTTTAGGGTTTGGGGCTGCAAGCGTTGGGGGTTTTTTGAAGTTGCTTGCGAATAGGAACCCTTACTGCTTGCTACGAGCTGCTCTGCTTTTTTTCAGTAGGCTTGACAGCACCCAAAGCCAAACTAAAGTCCACAAGCGGCTTGCACCTGACATAACAGGCAGAACATGCAAATCTCTAAAGTCAGCACTTGCCGTGCAAAACATCTACAGGCCCTTGAAACCCTAATAAAACCCTAAACCCTGCACCCTAGACCCTGTTCCCACTTTCCCGCTGGGTCCTCGACATTCACCACTCTACGAGTAGCTAGGTCCTAAGCCCGGAACCCGGAGCTCGAAATGCTTGAAACACCTTGTTGAAACCAGCTCGGATCTCGAAGCCCTAAAGCACAAGGGTTTAGTTGTTTGCCACCTGCCTAGCTGAGCCCAGAGGGCCAGGGTTTAGGGTTTAGGAATTAGGGTTTAGAGATTAGGGTTTAGGGTTTAGGGGGCAGGAAGTTAGAGGGTTCAAAGCTGCGAAGCTTCTCCCCTTCAGGTTTGCCGCCTCAAGCACCCCTTGGTGCACTCATGCTTTCACCCCCTTGACCTTTCGAAGGGGCACTATAAACCCTAAACCCTAACCCCTTCAACCCTAAACCATAACCCTAGGCTTTTAGGGTTTAGGTTTTTCGGGCAGACTTGGGAGCAACTCCGGCCTCGTCTAATTAAATGGTCAGTTCTCACCATGATGGTCCTTTGTGTACCCTAAATATTCGGGGCCGCCTCAGAATAAGGACCCCAACAGGGACTATAAGCTAGAGAAATGACCAAATCAATATCCTGGGAACGCAAACCCTAAACCCTAAACCCTAAAGCGGCCTCAAACCTTGTAATTGTAGAATGTAGCCCCGAACAGTGGAGTTGTCGAGGCAAGCAAGGCTCTGTGCGGCGGATTTCTCGCCATGGGAGAGATACTTCCACGCCAAGTCCTGAGCTGTGCAGCTTCTTTTGGGAGATCAGTTTAGGCTTTAGGGTTTAGGGTTTAGGGTTTAGATGCTGAGCTTTCGGGGTATAGGGTTTCAGCACCGGGCGTGGAAAGGCTGCAGGACTTGAGGGTTGTGGGATGTTGAGCTGATGCCTTACATGAACGAATCGGTAATCTGGCCAGAAATCAAGCTCAAGAGCAGCACCGCCCCTCAATCCAAAAGAGAGCAAACCCCCCGAAACACACACACCTGGCTTCAGAAAGCTGGTTCCCTTGCTTGCACCTTTTGGCACTTCACTCAAACCCCTCAACCTGAACCCGCCTTAAACCTCAAAACCCTAAAAACCCTGAATGCAAGTTGTCCCAAACCCAACACTCAAGGCGGCCCAAGGTGTAGGGTTTATAGGGTTTAGGGTTGAGGGTTTAGGGCTTAGGGTTTAGGGTGGCCCAAGGCACCATCTGGTGGTCCATCCGACTCACGAACATCGAATGTTGTGGCCCGGGTGCAACACCCTTGCGGCGGGAGTCTGGTTGTAGGTTCTGGGACTTGAGATGGGGGTTCACGGTATTCGGGTTCGGGTTTAGGGATTAGGGATTAGGGATTAGGGTTTAGGGTTTAGGGTGTAGGGTTTAGGGTGTAGGGTTTAGGGTTTAGGGTTTAGGGTTGAGGGTTGAGGGTTGAGGGTTTAGGGGTACCTTGTTGGGGTTCTTATTCTAAGGCGATCCTACTATCTGGGGGTCTATATTGGGGTCCTCTATTTTCGTGAACCCCTAAATCTTCAAACAAAACGCCGTTTGGGCCCAAGACTTTGAAAACTCTGTTCTAGTTCAATATCCAAGCCTCGATATAGCCTCCAGGCTTCCAACTAATGGTTGTTTAGGGTTTAGGGGTTAGGGTTTAGGGTTTAGGGTTTGGGGTTTTAAGCTCCAGGTGCAGCTCTAAGACTTGCTCCCCTCCCAGCTCTGCTGCACATTGTTTCCTACCACAACTACACTCGCGACTCTGAGCATCTAAACCCTGAACCCTGAACCCTTTTTTGCATCCTGGACCCTAAACCCTAAACCCTAAACCCTAAACCCTAAACCCTAAACCCTAAACCAGGCTTACACTCCAGCATGAATCGTTTAAGCGCCAAAAGCCCTACAGCCCGCAGAACCCTCGAAGCAGTTCAATGAAGCAGAGCTGTCGGTTCTGGCACCGGAGCAAGAGCGGGCGAGCCTGAAACACAAAATAGGGCGTGATGTGGTTCTCCTGGCAGAGTCGTCGAATGCGGCAGGCGGGCTGCTTCAGGGTTCAGGCTTTACCTGGGACCCTACTTACCTACAGCTTTATGGGTTCTACCGACTAATTAAGGGGTAGTTCCTACTAATCTGTAATTAGGTACCCTAAACCTAAACAGAGTCCCAGGTAGGGTCAGAAAATCAGGAAGGCACGTTGCCATCTTGTCTCGGAGCCCTTGTGTTTGGGGGCTCCAGCCTCGCCCTGCTTTCTTCTAAAGCTAGCGTTTAGGGTTTAGGGTTTAGGGTGTAGAGGTCTGGCCTTCTTGTCAGTAGCCCAGGAGAGGGTAAGCTCCCCTCGGCCCTGTCAAGCCCGGATCAGAAAATGGACCCTCGAGTGCTCGTGGCCAGCCAAAGGCCTTGGAGCCAAAAATTACTCGGGAACAGCGCGTTTTTCTTTGTCTGGCCTCGCTAAATCGTGGTGGAAGCCAAAAATTACTCCAAAACAGTGCGTTTCTCTTTGGGTGGCCTTTCTGAAGCTCTTTCGAAGGTCTGAAGGAGGCTGAAAGCCTTTTTCGAAGGTCCCAGGGAGGCTCCCAGGGGGGTGCCCCAGGATTCGTGAAAAATTGTTCGATTCCCAATTAATTTTAAATAGATTTTATATAGCGGAAATTACACCGATGCCCCATGATTTTGCTTGATTTCGCATAGCCGACATAACCCGCGCACAAGGCTTCGCACGCGCTTCAGCCACATTCTCTCGCACGTTTTTTCTCCATGCTGGCAGAGCTCGTGGTCCTGTGCCAAAGGCACTGCTGACACATGTTGTTACTTTGCTGTTACTGCCATGGAAGCCGGCTTCTTGCCGTGCTTTGTCTGTCTCTCTTATAGATACTGTCTCTGTTGACTGCAACCACGATTGCTGCGTGACGTAATAATGCTCTGCTACGAACCACGCTGCATATCCAACTGCTTGCTACGCACTCACGTTTTTGTTTCCGACCTGCAAGGTCAACAGGTGGGATAGCTCACGCTGAGCCAAGAGCAATATGTGCGCTGCCGCTTCGGGGTTGCCTCGCTTGTCGATCTAGGAAGACACTGACGCTGACACCTCGGTTCTCGTGTTGCCTTGCTCTCACGACTTGATGCCTGACGAAACCCCTTGCTTGCTTTTCATTCTGAGCTCCATACGCCACCTCTGCACATCCGCGTCCTCTCAATCATGCGGATCTTAGGGCAGCTTCAAGAGACACTTCTGAGACTCTTAAGCCTATGCCTGGGTGTCGCTCTCCCCTGCAGGTTTGCTCGCCTGGGCCTCCTGCGCGTTTCGAAGTGCTTGTCGCTCTAATCAAGACACTGGTCCTTCACCCTGCCTGGCATCTCAAAGGCGTGAAATGTTGCACAGTAAGGCGACCGAAGAAGCACCATGCATCGTCGCGTCGAACACGGGAAAGAGCCACATAGCCTGCTCCGCGCACGTTCTGCTTGTCGAGCCACAGCGCCATGTAGTCTAAGGTCGACCCCTGGACTTTGTGCAACGTTACGGCGTACCTTTCTCGCAAGCACGGATGACCCTTCGTGCCTCGGCGCGAGCATGGCGAGCAGAGCTTTGGCCGCAGCCAGAGCCGTGGCTTTGGCCTCTTTCTCCGCGTCACGCCGCTTGCGCTCCTTGGCGCGCTTGTCTTCCAGCATGGTCGCATGGCAGCGCTTCGGGCCATATTTCCGAGGTCGCGGCGTGGAGCCAGCCTTGTCGCCGCCGGCTCCTGCTGTTCCTGACTTCGGGGCAGCCCTGCCGGCAGCTTCGCCCTGAGCCTGGCCCCCCTCCGGCGCAGTGGAGGGCTCGCCGGCAGAGCAGGGAAGTACGCCGAGGCGAGGAGAGCGAGCTTTCCTGGCCCGCTCTGTAGCAACCCAGTCGCCCCAGTCGTCCTCCAAGTCGGACGCCATGGTGGCTGGTCACGAGCAGAAACGCTGGAGCCAAACAAAGCTCGCATGCATCAGTCCTGGCATGCCTGCAAGTACAACACATCACGGAAGGTTCTTGCGTGCTGGCACAACTCCTCCCTTCAAAGCGCCCAGCCTTCGAGCACAGACACGACGTGGAGCTGAACACTTCCTTCTCCAAGACCTCGTATGATTCGTACCATGGCACTGCTATGAAATTGAGGGTCAAACTTTTCAGAGTGTGGCATCAGAGTCGCATTTCTGGCACAAGTGACCTCTTGAAGCTAGTAAAATCAGATTCAGATTACCGCCATTTATTGTATAAGTGCATTGTTCACTGTATACTAGACAATAGCGTCAATCGTCGCAGCAATAATAATCAACACTAAGCCTGCCCTAAGTCCCGTTACTGCAGACAATCGATCGGCGCCTAGAAATTGCTCCAAAGCTAACACATTTCCATAAGATACGCCTAAGAACTTAGGCTTGTTACAAAAGCTTTGGGTGGATTCTCGGGGCGGGACAGATTAGAGCTCCACATTCGTGACGGAACTCGGTTGCTCTGAAGATATCGGACGTGCGTCGCAACACCTGACGTTGCGAAACTCGTACACCCACCGCGGACGTTGGATCCAAAGACCCTAAACCCTAAACCCTAAACCCTAAACCCTTTTAACTAAACCCTAAACCCTAAACCCTAAACCCTAAACCCTAAACCCTAAACCCTAAACCCTCAAGAGCCTATAAATTGAGCTTGCGTTTTGCATCGTGCGTGCCTTCTTCGTGCATCCTTATCTAATTACCAGAGCAAACAATATGCCTTCATCATGCATCCTTGTCAAATTATTACAGCAGACATTATTCAGTTTACTTAAACCTCATATTGTTCAAACAGCACAATTCACTTAAACCACCAAATTATTCAAAATGCTCAATGTACTTGTTCATGCATCCTTGTCAAAATTATCAGCGCAGACAAAATGCCTTCATCATGTATCATTGTCAAATCATTTTGTCAAAATTCTCAGACAAAATGCCGGTTTAGGGTTTAGGGTTTAGGATTTAGAATTCATCCCTCCGCAAGAACATCAGGTTTGTAGTAATTGCAATTATGCTTCTGATCAGCTCCTTGCCTGCATATATATATATATATATATATTGTCAAATCATTTTGTCAAAATTCTCAGACATAATGCGGGTTTAGGGTTTAGGGTTTAGGATTTAGAATTCATCCCTCCGCAAGAACATCAGGTTTGTAGTAATTGCAATTATGCTTCTGATCAGCTCCTTGCCTGCATATATATATATTATTTCTGTTTTTTCCTCAGGCCGACGACAAAAACATTATTAGAGCAGACAATATTCAATTTACTTAAACCTCATATTGTTCAAATAGCACAACTCACTTAAAGCATCGAATTATTCAAAATACTCACTGTACATATTCACGCATCTTTGTCAAAATTATCAAAATTATCAAATCAAACAAAATGTCTTCATCATACATCGTTGTCATTTTTTTGTCAAAATTATCAGATCATAGCAGATAATACATCTTCATCATGCATCCTTGTCAAATTATACTATACAGCCTTCCATCATGCATCCTTATCAAATTATATGCGCAAACAATATACAAATTACATAAACCTCATATTATTCAAAAATACAATTCACTTAATCCACCCATTTTTTTCATACCGAGCCAAGGATGCTCGTGAGAAAGGGTCGCCCCGCCAGTGGTTGCGACCAGGAGTCTAAACCACAACATATCAAACAAAGACAGAAAACTCTAAAACACCATAACATTCTAAACCTTAGATTCTTAACTCCTGGTCGCAACCGCTTGTCCCGACCTCTAGGCGTAAGAGGGGTTGAGGGTGCTCAACAAACAACAGAACTAATAAAGGAACGAGTCCTAAGTACAACGTATAGTAGAAACAACATAAACACTACGCACCCTTAGTTACTAATTACTAACATACACTAGGCTCTATATCAATTTATAAGTAACTCTAGTACCCTCAACCCCCCTAAGGGGGAAGAACACTTAGGTTCTTCCCCCCGTTAAAAAAAATGCACTGGGCTCGGCTACTCAGTTGTAGAAGGAGAGCTTGTCACAGAAACCCTCCCTTAGCACACACACACACACACACACAAACACCCGCCCGCCCCCCCCCCCCCCCCCCCCCCCCCCCCCCCCCTCCGCTCTCCAACTGCTTCCCTTCCTTGGGCTCCCACTGCATGGTCCGGCGTCGGCGCGCCTGGAAGCACACTCTCTCTAGCCCTCACTCACACACACACACTGACACACTGTCTGTCTCTGTCCCTCTCTCTTTCTCTCCCCCTGAGCCCGGGTCGGGCCGAAACGTTGGCACCTATCTCTCTCTCTCTCTCTCTCTCTTTCTTAACTCTCCCTCAGTCTCTCTCTCTCTCTCTCTCTCTCTCTCTCTCTCTATCTCTCTCTCTCTCACCTGCCTCCGCCACACGCGTTGCAGCCGCATCACACTCTCTCTTACGTCCTCTCTCTCTTTCTATCTCACTCTCTTTCTCTCTGTCTCTCTTCTCTCTCTCTCTCTCTCTCTCTCTCTCTCTCTCTCTCTCTCTCTCTCTCTCTCTCTCTCTTTCTCTCTCACCTGCCTCCGCCGCAAGCTCAGACGCAGCAGCCGCCTCACACTCTCTTGCGTCCTCTCTCTCTTTCTATCTCTCTCTCTCTCTCTCTCTCTCTCTCTCTCTCTCTCTCTCTCTCTCTCTCTCTCTCTCTTTCTCTCTCACCTGCCTCCGCCACACGCGTTGCAGCCGCCTCACACTCTCTCTTGCGTCCTCTCTCTCTTTCTATCTCTCTCTCTCTCTCTCTCTCTCTCTCTCTCTCTTTCTCTTTCTCTCTCACCTGCCTCCGACACACCCGTTGCAGCCGCCTCACACTCTCTCTTGCGTCCTCTCTCTCTCTCTCTCTCTCTCTCTCTCTTTCTCTCTTTCTCTCTTTCTCTCTGTCTCTTTCACTCTCTCTCTCTGTCACCTGCCTCCGCCTCAAGCTCGGGCGCAGCAGCCGCCTCACTCTCTCTCTTGCGTCCTCTCTCTCTTTCTATCTAT